AATCAAAATACATTTATGAAACTCCCAAGGCATTAGTAATTTTTTTAAAGATTACAATGATATCAAATTAGACCTTGTCAGAGTATGACTCCCCATGACCTCAAGCATTATCAATAAGAGCATGATGTAATCCACATAGCCTGGGGGAGAACAAATACTTTCTTTTACATCTAATTTGTTGGGAATTTTCATCCTGAAAGCATGCTGAATTCTGTAGATAACCTAAAAGTCCATGGACAAAAGCAGAGAGGGACCTCTGCCGGCCCCTCCCAGATCAATGTCCTTTAAGATCCTCATTTGGGCCCGCAAAGAAAAACATTTCTCTAAATGGTGTTCATTGTTCTGTGGCTGGGGACATCTCTACAGCTCTTGTTTTGGTGGCCTCAGCTGCCATTTGTTTTATGGAAGGAAATGCAACAATGGTGTCCACTTGGGGTGGGGGGAATTCCTGATTCTATTTACTGTAGAGCAAGGAATGGACACAGACAATGGTAAATCCCATCAAGGCCCGAGTACACTCTGTTGCCTGGTGCAAACTCAATTTACTTGTGTTTATAATCACGCTTGGAGTTTCCCTATCTCTGTGGAAGCACCAGCCACTTCCTCAGAGGCTCAGAAGTTAACCTACACCATGAGGAACAATGGACCGACTTAAACCCATGAGGGCCAGGGGCCGACTTCAACATGGGGTCTTGAAATGTGAGTTTGTATGTCATTATGCTCACGTGGCTCCGTGATGTCAGCTGAGTTGATGTTTTAGTTAGACTTGACATATAAAAAAAAACGTGAAAGTGCCGGACTTGCTCTGAGTCCTCCCGATGGAGGACTCCCAGTTCCTCCATCACTCCCCTGCATCCCCACTACCCTCTTCCCACCGTCCAGACCTCCGGAGCTGGGTCTTGCGGCCAGCAGATCAACGGCCCCTCAACCGAGTCTACAGCCTGATGTCCCAGAGCCTAGGACAGTGTTTCGCAGTTGGGGAGATGATCCTAGATATCAGAATGTCTTGAAAGATGTAACCCCAGAGGCAGAGGCTGGAGTGAAGCTGTTACTGGAAGGGGCCATAAGCCAAGGGATGAGAAAACACCAGGAAGCCTTTGGGTTCATGGCGGCTGCCAGCTTGATGTTGGTTCTCTTGGGGCCCATCTGGACCGGTGACCTCCAAAACTAAGAATGAATGCATGTTTGTTCTGAGTCAGTGTGTTTGTTCATGATCATTTGTCACAGCGGCATGGGAAAGTAATGCAGGCGTGGCATTCTGGGTTATAAAAGGGAGGGAGGGCTGGGCGCGATGGAACCAGCCTGTGATCCGTGAGCACCGGGGAGGTTGGGGCAGGAGGATGGCAGGTTTGAGGCGTGCCTGGACTATGTAATGAGACCTTGAAACAACAATGACTTGCCAGTGAGCAAGAGAGTAAGGTGGAGAGATCAGAGAGAGAGAGAGAGAGATCAGAGAGAGAGAGAGAGCCATATGAAAGAAGCCCGTTGGCCTCCTCCACCAAGACTATAGGTAAGGGACATACCATGTGCAGAAAAACACTCACCCAAATGCAAAAGCAGTTTACAGTATGGGACAGGCAGGTGGACCCTATGTAAAAGATCCACAAAAGACTCACTATGACCCAGAGGATGGGGCCTCTGTCTCTTGCCCTTGCCCAGCCTCAGAAGTCATTAATACACCATCTCAGTTTCTACCACTGTCCACACGCCCCTGTATTCTTTGTACTATGACCCTAGGACCCGGAAATCCCAGGTGCCCTCAGACTCTGATCCACGCCAATAACAGAGGGGGAGAAAAGCAGACCTCACAGCCTCAGCCTCGCCCTCTGTAACCAGCAAAGATGTGTGATATCTCACAGCACCAAACTAGGACTGAGCTGCTCTCCTGGAGGACAGGAGGAGGAGGAGACCGGAAATGTGAGCCCAAAAGCCAGGCAGGTGCTCGGTAGCCCAGCCCTGGGCCTGGGCAGAGGTGGTCCTTGAGTCATGGATGGTCGGTCACCGTGTATTCTGTACCAACATTTTAATCGCCCTTTGCCACCATTCACTGTTGTCCCAGACCTTGCTCGAGAGAAATGAGGGATACATTAAAACCTCCTTAAAGCAACAACAAAGTCAGCCCTGTTAAAGCCTAAGAAAGATGAAAAGCAGGGCCCTAGTACAGATGTTGCAGGCGCTGGTGAGAAGATAAAATGAGAGACAGCTTGTGCGAGTGAGGAGTGACTTACCGGGCAATTGCATTCCTGGTATTGACTCTACCGGTTTGCAAACACGCTCACACGCTACTCATACGTGAAAGCACTGCCTGCACCTTAACACGTAAGCAGTCAGAGCAGACTCACTGCAGACTCGCTGCTGGGGGGCTGCTCATCTCCTAACTGCAGCCCGGCAGCTTCAGAGTCTGAGGAGGAGCAGAGATCCACACTCAGTTCCCAAGCTCCTCCTGACCCCGCAGGGCGGACATGGTTCTCCCTTGGAGCAAAGGCAAGCGCTGGCGTGAAGAAACTCAGGTCGGGAAGTCACCGGAGCATGCACTGCCACTGCCACTCAAGGACCTGCTGTTTGGAATTACATATGGAAAGTTCCAGGACTCCTCCTAGGAGACTGTCTGTTGTTCCCAGTCAGTAGTAAGTTTTGTTGGGCTTCTTTCTTCATCTAGTAGGGACCCCTCCCCCACCCCTCCCATCAGCCACAGCACCCATCAGCTAGATGGGCAGCCCCATCAAAGACATGTCAGGTAGTGGCTGGCCTGCCTGTGTCACTCCAGAGCACAATGGAAAGGGGTCTTTCCCATGACCATAACTTAAGGGAAAGTCCTCGTTTGCCTTGAACCTCTTTGCAAGATAGGCGGTTTTTGTTTGTTTGTTGTTTTTGTTTTTAAGATGGCCCCAACACTACCATCTGAAGCCTTAATTAATTCCAAAGTGGGAAATGACAGCCCTTGAGGGCTGGCCAGTAGCACCAAGAGCTCAGGAAATCATGGGGTTCAATTCAGAAACGTCACACCTTCCGGGAAAATGATACCCACAAGCCAGAGTGATTTTTAGGGTCTGAATAAACAAGCACCCAAGTTTATTGTTGCTGCTGCCTCTGCTTTAGTTGTTGCTGGGGGCATAGTCTGGAATCCACTGCGTAGACAGGAGTAGCCCTAAGCCTGCAGTGACCCTCGGCTCTGCCTCCTGCAGGGGGGTTACAGGTTTGAGCCACCTGGCTCAACACCCACATGTTAATTTAAGTCCCCAGGGCAATCGTGTTAAGAGCCGGGCTTTGGGAAGAGATTAAACCGTGAGGATTTCATCTTCACAAATGGAATCAGAGCCTGTGTAAAGAGGCTCCCACCTACCTCCGCCCCCGCCATGTGACTGCAGGCACCTCTTGTGACGCCACCCCACCCCACGCCCGTCCTGCCAGGCACCTCGCAAGACAGTCTTTTAGAACTGCGAGCAATGCATTTCTGTCGTTTCTAAATACCCCGGTCTGGGCGTTTTTTGCTACAGCCCCATGAACACAGATTAGGCAGAAGCAGGCTCAGCACCCAGACTGGGCCCTCAGTCCCCGAGGCTCTTCAGGTGCAGGGACACCGCCTGGCGCTGGGCGCACCCAGTGGCTCCCAGGCTGTTCCAGAAGAAGCTCTCTGTGCCGTTTCCCACCCTGCGCAGCTCAAGAACTGTCGGGGGAACGGGTGCCCTTTCAGTCTTAAGAGTGACAGAATGGGTCTCTGCTCCACAACAAAACGCCCCTGCTTCCCGCGAGAGCAGGTCTGTCATTTGCTGGCACAGCGGGAGGCGTCCGGGCATCCGGTCTCCTCCTCGGAAAGCCGGTCTGGAGTGCGGAGACCTCTCCAGGTTCTAACACTGGCCCTGATGAGTCAGCCCTTGCTTGCCCTTTCTCAGAAATCCCCGGGTAGCAGCTCCGCGTCCTCCTTTCCAGCCCTACCCTGTTATGAGCTGGACCATCTCTGCCGCATCACCAGGGAACGAAGGCCATCCTTGGTCGTCCCGAACCCAGAGGTGGCAAGGGCATGCCCAGAGTCACCCGCTAGCCCTGTGGTGGCTACGGCTTCGTCGTGGGCGACCAAACCCCTTCAGTGAGGCAGCATCAATACAAAGTCTGCCTTTTTTAAAGATAGAAATCGACTATAAAAAGATCACAAGAGACCGTGTTAAAAAAATTACATAAGAGGCTAACTCAGAACATTTGGGTCCATAAAAAGTCAACATTAACTACAAATGTTATTTTTCCCATGTAAGCAAGCTCTAAATACCACCCTCTCCCAAACAATTCTTTGCTGATTGCTAGAGGCTGAAAACAATGAAAGTAAGTGTATTTCCTACAAAGCCTCCAAAAGGAGCTAAGTCCTCCATCCCCTCTGGCTCTCACTCTCTGACTCGCTTCTGCAGGGTTCCCTGAGCCCTGAGGGGAGGGGTTTGCTGGAGACATCCTATTTAGGGCTGAGTGTTCCAAGGTCTCTCACTCCCTGCTTGCTTAATGCCTAGCAAGTCTGTGTGTGCTCCCATCTGCCCAGGGAGGGGAGGCATCTGTGATGCTGGCTGACCTGTGAGGATAGCAGAATGATGACTCAGCTCTTCAAAGCAGGGGCCCTGCCAGGTGTTGGTGGCACACTCCTTTAGTCCCAGCACTCGGGAGGCAGAGGCAAACGGACCTCTGCGAGTTCGAGGCCAGCCTGGTCTACAAGAACTAGTTCCAGGACAGCCTCCCCCAGGGCGTTCGTGTAGGGCAGGTTCCCAACAATCCGTAGCTCCAGTCCCAGGGACCCATCGCCCTATTTGGCGGTCCGAGGATGGCCAGCGCTCTTGCTGGTACCCACACACAGGCACACATGCAAATTAAAATGAAAACAATCCTGTTTTAAAACAAGCCTTCAGAAATAGACCCCCAGCAGAGCTAGAAGACAAAGCCCCATCCAGGTCTCATTATAGCCACTCACTGTCCCCACCTAAGAAGCAGCAGACAGCAGACTCCCCAACAAGCCAGATGTCTGCGGCCAGCGCGTTTATTTCTGTGCGCCACCCCTTCCTTTGATGAGCCTTCGCCTCACGTGTTGCACGTACACTATAACTCAATTTGAGGCCTCACCAGCCTGTCTTGGAGGACCAACTCCAACAAGGCCGCCGCCTTCGTCTGCATTAGGATTAGGCACCTGAACCGGTGCTAGCATCGTGTTTGAAAATGGGCGTCTGCCACAATCCCGTTACAATTACCGGGAGGGTGAGAGGGCGGGGCTGCTCCCTGGTCTGGAGAAGGTAGGCTGGCTGAGAGGGCGGGGCTGCGCTCTGGTCTGGAGGAGGTAGGCTGGCTTTCCGGAGGCTGCATCGCCAGGCAGAGCTCTCATTTAGCCTGGGTGTGCGAAGAAGGAAGCAGAAGGAGAAGCTCGCCGGAGAACCTAGGAAAGGAAACATTTCGTTCCCGCGGCTCGTGGTTCAACAAATTTGCCTGCTGCCGGCAGGCTTTTCACGCAGGGCTTAGCGGTGGGAGACTGGGTGGGAGGAAAAGGAAGGCTCGGTTTAAGCTTGGGAAAACCTATTTAGTCCAAGGAAGTGGAGTACCCGGGAGAACTGAGGAGAGATGTTTGTGTGTTCTACGGGCTCTGGGACCTAAGGTCCAGGACTCCAGGCCTGCCAGACGGCCCAAGGGAAGCTGCAGCCCCACCTCCAAACGCTGGGCAGGGCCGAGCCGGAGGCGCACACCCTGGAAGCCCATAGCAGGACACAGAGGGACAGAGAGAGAGGCGTCCCTGGTTCAGAGGACAGTGAAGGGACACACTAAACACCTCCAGGGCTCCCAGCTACAGAGCCCAGAGCATTTTCTTCCTCTTTTTTTATTATTGAAATATAAATGCAAATGGCTTCAAAAATAAGTGTGTGTGTGTGTGCGCGCACGTGCACGTGTTCATATTGGCACCTCACTAGCCTGGAACTCACCTTGACTGGCTAGCTAAGGAGCACCAGGGGCTACCTGTCCTCACCTCTGTAGCTCCAGGATCACAAGTTCAGGCCACCACACTGGGCTCTTTTACATGGGATCTGGGGCTTCAGCTCGGGGCCTCATGCTTGCACATGGTCGAGGCTTCCTCCTAGCCACAGGAATTTTGTTTTTAATGCCAGAAAATTCATAAGTCCTCTGGAGTCACGATGGAGGATCATTGCAGGCTACCACCTAAGTGTTTATGACGACGCAGTGGTCTTTGGCATCCACCGTCAGAACAAGGTCTTCATCGGAATGATGAGGATTGCACACTTTGCCCTCCCTGGCTGTCTCACTAGGCTGAGGGAATTAAGACCTCCAGGAACAGCAGCATCGAGACCCTTTCCGATACACGGCTTCCGTTTTCTCTTTTTTCTGGAATCCTCTGCAGTGTCGTAGCCAAGACGAGGCTTGCAGCATGCTAGCTATATAAAAGGCACAAAAAAAAAATCGCTTGCTTCTTGAGTTTTCCTCTTTGTTCCTTTTAGTTAATCCCCCCAAGACATTTCCCACTTCAAGGAAACTTTGACAACCCCTCATAAGCCTGCTTATTTTGTGACAGATCTGTGATTATAGTTAAGCAGTCTTGTCAAGACACACACACACACACACACACACACACACACACACACACACACTGGCTTTTTTCTTTGCCTTGATTCTGAAGAGGACCATGAACTCCCAGATGTTCTAATAAGAGCTTTCTACACCTCAGGAAAGGGGGGGGGGGGGGGGGGAGGATTGGCTGGCACCTGTAGAGGGGGATGGTTCTCAGGAAAAGAGGAGAGAAATAGAAAAACTAAACACACACACACACACACCAAGCTAAGCCACACAAATTTAATTTCCCAGAGACAAGGGGGTCACTGGTGCAGTCCAGGATTGACACGGGGTAGAGGCGAAGGTGTAGGTGACCACAGGACCCTAGAAGACACACTTTACCATGGGAGCTCTGGAACACAGCATCCATGGGTGCGACGGTGAAGCTGATTTCCTCTGCTAGAGGAGAGCCTGACAAGAATCAGTCATATCTGTGAGCCCAAGGGCAGCAAACAGATCCTGTATAATCTTTCTCCAGATATGGGCAAGCCCAGGCCCAGTCACCACCTGGCATGATGAGCCCAGGAAGTATGTCTCCCTCGAGTGGGTGGTGTTGACACTCCGTAAGAGGTCTGGAGTACTGTCCGACATATAGACTGCAGTTTCTAGCTGTATGGGTCACTAACCCACTGAGGACCTCGGCTCCCTCATAGGGAAAACAGGAGCCTTGTCATATAACAAGCCGTCCCCAGCTAAAGATGGCACCATTACCACCTAGTACACTGTAGGTGCTGGGGGATCTTTGGCTAATTGGAGAATATGATTCCCAGAGCTGATGGGAGATGCCATTCTGTAAATCTGTCTCTTATTGGTTGTTGAATAAAGCACTGTTGGCCAATAGGGAAGCAAGATAGTTGGGACTAGGAGTCAAGGAGGATTCTGGGAAAGAGAGGCAGAGTCAGAAACAATGTAGCCCGCCAGAGGAATAAGAGGTCAGGTCCCTTTTCTCTGGTAAGAGAAATACTTAGATTAACAATTATGGGTTAAATACTTAAGTCAGAGCTAGCCAGTAAGAAACAGAGCAAACAGCCAACAGTTTAATAATTAATATAGCCTCCTGTGTGTTCATTTGGGACTGATGCGACTCTGGAATCAGGCTGGCGGGAAGACAGCACTCTACACAGAGTGATGAAGGCAAGCACTGGTCAACTATGTTCACACAGAGCATCTGAACTTATTTTAGATAGTACTAATCAAGACGAGTATTTGGACCAGCACCTTGGGGCTCCTCGTGAGGACATCTAGGGGCACTCACCTGTGTGTACTGATGATTCGATTTGTTGAATAAGCTTCAGGTCCAGGAGACTTGTTTTGAGAGAGGAAACGCCCCCAGCGGGAGGAAGCCCATTTCTGGCTTCGCTCCCAGAAGACAGTTGTTCCCCTCCTCACTCCAAGGACACCTAACCTGTAACCTCCATAAGTGTTTGGTGTGAAATCGGTCTCAATCGGTCTCAAAGTTGACATACTTTTTTCTTTTAACGAAAGTACCTATTCATAATAGATTTAATCTAAACTTGCCTATTAATATCTGGAGTGTGCATATGACATGTTTTCAAAATGACTTTGGCAGTTCTAATGGAGACCCCAAAAAGGAAAGGTCTTTGAGGCGATGAGAGAATCTGTGATGGCAACAGGGTGGCCACAGAGGCCACACAGGTGGGGCTAGCAAGTTGGAGGAAGGCCTGGGTGGCTTCAGACCATCACTTGTGAGCTCCCTGACTGCACTTGAGTTTGCCCATGGTTACAGGAGGCTGCCTGTCTCCAAACACAGAAAAAAAAAAGTGATTTCACTACAGAAAAGAATTCACTTATTTTTCTTTGCAAACTGTTGGGGAAAGGAAACAGGGCTCCTCCATCGATAAGACAGGACTGCAACAATTTCACAGGCTCCCGTGTGTGAGCTTTAAGTGCTCATGCCCCAGCCCTTGAGCTCTGGGCTGGCACAGTTCATGCCAGGGCAAGTAATGGCAGGGAGAAAAGGACACTCCGGCTGCCCCTATCCCCTGAAGGTCTCGCCCACCTCCTCTCCAGCACTTGTGGGCCCACATGGAAAGAGCTCACAGTGTTCAGTGCCTCCCACCTAAAATTGTGCAGTGCTCCTATCCTTCCCCCAGCTCCGTGTGCAGTGCTCTTCCCTTCACGAAGCTCCGTGTGCAGTGCTCTTATCCTTCACGCAGCTCCGTGTGTGGCACCCATGGAAACCTGAGCTTCGTATGATTAAGGAGGATATGGCCTCCATAGGGCTGCTCTACTCTACTGACTACACTGGAATCAGTCTGAGGTGTTGAACGAAGCCACAGGGAGAGTTGGAGTTCAAAAGCGCTGCCTTTCCCTGAGTAGCATCCAGGACACATGAGCTAAAAAGAGAATAGAATATTTTAAGCCAGAGTTTATTTAACATTTCAGGATGTCCGGTTGCTGAATATATGGTTCAGAAGCTTCTCAAATTATACCGGTCGGTAGGTAGCCCCTGCTTGCAGAGCTGCCTGTGCTCTCCCTCTGCCCACAGCAGCTTCTCTAGCCCTCCCGCTGGAGCAGAACTCCCCAGCTTTGCTCAATGGGGGGCTGTTGCTCTGAAGGGCGTGAGTTTGGGACTGCTCACTTGCATACATTTACCTCTCTGATGACACTGTCATTTCACTGGTAGCTAGAATCTTGTCCTGATAATCCATGCATCCATTAGGGATACCGTCACACACACAGTGGGGTGTCTGTAGCTGTCTGCTCAATGAGTATGGGATGGACGGCTGGCTGGGTGTCGTATTGGTTTTATTTCTGTTGCCGCGATAAAACATTGTAACTAAAAGCGTGATAAAACATTGTAACTAAAAGCGTGATAAAGCATTGTAACTAAAAGCGTGATAAACATTGTAACTAAAAGCAATTTGGCAAAGAAAGGGTTTACTTGGCTTACAGTTGCTGGTGATAGTCCATCCTTTTGGGGAAGGCAAGAGTTTGAAGCATCTGCTCGCATCCACAGGAAAGAGCAGAGAACGCAGGCGCGTGTGCCTACGCGTGTGCCGAGCCCCTCTCTACACTCACACCGTCCGGGACCCCCGCCTAAGGAGTGGTGCCATCTACAGCGGGCTGGGTCTTCCTGCATCAATTACCATAATCAAGACAATCCCCCCACAGATAAATACCACAATACCACATCTTCCCGGGATGGGGATGGCGGGGGCCTTACATTGTATCAAACTGCCAGTTAAACATCAATCATCACAGATGAGCAAGTGGCTGGAAAGACGGGCGGAGGGAAGGATGGGTAGGCAGTTGGATAGCTACACCCTGCTGAAGCCCACAGCTTGAGCTACAGGTGATGTGAGGCCAAGACTGCACACGATGCAGGTAAATGTAAGGAGAGGATAGCGGAGAGAGAGATGTGAAAAAGGAACAGCGGAGCTCTTTGTGCGCTTGTCTGGGCTGGGCCAGTGGGTCTGGGAAGGAACTGAGACAGGCACTGTGCTCAGGCTTCTCAGTCTGCCGAAGGAGAAGACTGGGAGCATCTCTCGCGTTCCGTCCATCTGACAGAAACTGTGGACTCCTGGTTATTGGGCTCTGGTGAATGTACACACACACACACACACACACACACACACACACACACTCACACACACACGAGGAAATGCTCGCTTTTCGAATGCTCTGTAGATTCGAGCATCCCTTGCCGTGGCATTGAATCTGAAGAATGCCCCCCCTGGGCCTCCCCCTTCTTTGCACAGCATTGCTGACCTCCCCCCTGTGAACCTGCCCACTTGAATGCACAGAACAGTATGTCCCGCAGAGGTTCCCACCACACCCACCCCCTCGTCTAGCTGAACCTTGGCCTCCACCTCTTGTTACAAGCTACCACAGACTGCTAAAAACTACACGCACGTGGACACGCTCAGAGCCGCTGTGAACAAACCGCTCAAGTGCACTCAAGGTCAGGGGGGGTGAGTGGGAGAGGGACAGAAAGAGTCTAATCTTTGGCCTGTCACATGGAAGAAGAGAGAACATCTCACGTACCCAAGCCTGTGTAATGTAATATTTATCATCTGGGATCACAGGCAATGACTCGGCAGTGTCCCTTCTCTTACCCCAGCCCTGGGGTGGGGCTTCGGCTTAAGAACTAGAGAAGACAGTGTGTGTGTTGGTCAGGGGCAAAGACTGAGTTCTAAATGGAGCCTCTGGAGGAACAGGGAGTTGAGGTCTAACCTGGAGTGTGAGATGGGTTATCTCGGGCGTCTTGGCCTTGGATCACAGAACCCTCCAGCACTCCTCGGCTGTTGGGAGCTTAGTTGCTGGAGAGATTATGCCTGCGTGTGTCTTCTAGAGTTTATGGGGCGCACGATCACACACTGGGCGCCTAGGAGGTGGCTCAGTCAGTAAAGACCTTGTGTGTGGCTTGGTCGGGGTTTCCATTGCTGTGATAAACACCCTGACTTGGGGAGAAAAGGGTTTGTTCCAGCTCACAACTCTCTGGTCACCATCAAAGAAAGCCAGGGCCAGCAGAAGGCAGAGCCTGGAGGCAGCTAAGAAGTCGAGCAAAGGTAGTGACTCCTGGCGAACTCCCCACAGCTTCCTCAGCCTCCTTTATTACAGCATCCAGGACCATGTGCCCAGGGCGACACCACCCACAGCGAGCTGGGCCCTCCCACAGCAACCATCAATCAATGAAATGTACCACAGACCTCTCCTTCTCCCAGAGTTGTGTCAAGTTGATGTAAAACAACACTCAGGGTTGACCTCTGCTGTTCACATAACCTCCCCCACGGGTGCGTGCCTGTACGCACGTGCGATCACACACACATACACGCACAAGTACAAATGTACATACAGGAGTACACATACACATACACAAGTACACATGCACACACAGAAATATACATGCACACACAGGAGTATACATGCACACACACACGTGTGTACCCATGTACTCACACACACACACATGCATGAGTACAAATGAACACACAGGAGTATACATGCACATACTCACATATACACACAGGAGTACAAATGCACACACAGGAGTATACATGCACACACACGTGTGTACCCATGTACTCACACACACACATACACACACATGCATGAGTACAAATGAACACACAGGAGTACAATGCACACACAGGAGTACACATGTACACACTCACATATACACACACAAGTACAAATGCACACACAGGAGTGCACATGCACAAAACACACAGGAGTATACATGCACACACACGTGTGTGTACCCATGTACACACACACACAAGTACAAATGCACACACAGGAGTTCACATGCACACACATGAGTACACACACAGGAGTATACATGCATGCACACAAACATATGTGTTCTTGTGTACACACACATACACACACGAGTACAAATGCACACACAGAAGTACGCGTGCACATACATGAGTATACATGCATGCATGCACACACGCATACACATTCATGCACACACACACATAAATCACACACTAGGTGTCTCAAAGCAGTGCAGACTTACTCTGTTATGTTCTAAAGATGACAAGTCTGTTCGAGGCCGGGCTGGACCGACAGCCTCCAAAACAATACAGAGAAACCCTGTCTCGAAAAACCAAAAAAAAAAAAAAAAAAAAAAAGATGACAAGTCTGAGATCAGTGTCAGCAGGGCCACACTCCCTGGGACGGTGCAAAGAAAGAATTCACTGGTCTCTGGTGGATACAGGACGCCCTCAGCATCCCATGGTGGTTATGTGGCTTTAACTGTCCTGCTAACAAGGACACTAGTCTTCACATTTGGACCCATCTTAATCTAGTATGTCCATCCTTATCTTTAGTTAACTCACTACATTTTCAAGTGCCCTAGTTTTAAATAGCATTGTACCTTAAGGTTCTGGGCAGGTGTGTGTGTGTGTGTGTGTGTGTGTGTGTGTGTGTGTGTGTGTGTGTGTTGCTGTTCAATCCAGTAAAGCATAACTAAAGGCCAGCATACCCTGAAAGTCTAGAGGTCTGGGTTCAAGGTTTACCTATGTGAAGTTAGACAAATAAACTCTTAATGCTTCAGTTTGCCTGAAATAATGAAATGGAAATGATAACAATAATAATAATTTAGTAATAATAACTTCATCTTGAGCTTACTCTGAGACTTGGAGTGGAGAAGGCTAGAAGTTGTGTCACATCTTCAAAGGTGATGAGGCTGCCCGTGTCTGGGAAGAGGGGAGCCACCATGGAGATGAGGACTCTGACTTGCAGGATGAAAACACTCCAGAGAAGTCTTGTCCCATAGCGTGCATGCTGTTAGTGGAGGCGAAGCTGTGGCCCACACCTGATGAGAGTAAATGTGTTTGTTTATTTAAAAGAGTGATTGTACATCGGCTGAGCAAAAGTGGGAAAGAATCCAGAGGATGGGAGGGGTTCAAGAGACAAATACTCTCCAGTACATTAAAGAAACAAACTTTAAAGTTTATCATTTGAAAAAGTTATATGATGGGGATCTCCTTCTGTATCTATGTTTCTCTTATTGGCTGATGAATAAAACACCGATTGGCCAGCAGCCAGGCAGGAAGTATAGGCGGGGCTAGGAGACAAGGAGAATTCTGGGGAAAGGAAGTGGTCAGAAGCCGACAGTGAGATGCCACGTAGCTGAGGACGGGGTAACAGGTCCAGACCCTTCTCCGGTAAGATAAGGCCACGTGGAAATACTTAGATTAATAGAAATAGGTTAATAACTAAGACAGAGCTAGTCAGTAAGAAGCCGGAGCCATTGGTCAAACAGTCTCTATTTAATACAAGCCCCTGTGTGTTTACTTGGGACTAAGGGCAACGGGAACAGACAGGACAGAAGCTTCTGTCTTCAGTTATGCGTGTGTATAACATATTGTGATCATATCCATCTGTCGCCACCTCCTTCCGACTCCACCTACTCCATCTCCATCCACGAATCATGCCCTCTCTAAGAGAAAAAAAATACTGTTGATAAGCTTTTGTGTCTGGTTAGCTCTGACCACCTATGCACTCGGGTGTGGGGCCATCCACTGGAGTATGGGCGACCTACCAACCGTCAGGATTCCAAAAGAAGGCCCCTCCTTCAGCAACCATCCACTGTCAAAGCAACCTTCATAACCGGTGGGGTCTCAGGGCCCCTCCCACATCCATTTGACTGGCTTAGTCTTGTGTGGGTCTGGTTAGCACAGCTTTTGAAAGGGAAGAATGGGTTTATCCTGGAATTCCAAAGCTACATGGTTGGTGATGCGACTCCAGATATAGTATAAGGCAGTAATCTCCATGCCTAATCTAAGTCATTCATGGACAGTCTGTGTTATGCATACATCTAAATGTCTGCACCGCCATCCCTGGGAAGTAAGCAGGAGGTCCAACTAATGCGGTGTCTCACGGGGCTACTTCCAGGGCTGGGACACTCTGTGCCCTGTATTATCTTTTTAACAGCCACAAAAAGTTTTCTTCTGTGTCACAAATGTGTATGTGAAGGGTTAGGCACAGGAAAGGGATGTGTCCTACAGGGACTGCAGGAGAGAGCTGGTTCCTCAGAAAATCACCCAAGGATGGCCAGCAATCATTGGGCACTACTACTCGGTGCAACGCAAATCCAGACCACTGTTCCATGGTCTACACTGGCAGCTTTCTCTACTCAGAAATGCTTGCATATGTAAACTTGGGACTGCTCTAGAGGCTAAATAGCCCCCTGTAGCCCCCAAATAGGTGTGACCAGTCTGGACCACTAGGAAGGTCGCCTATGGTCATGGCTGCTTTGATGTCCTCTATACCAAAGAAAACCTTCTTTCACTTTGCCTCTTACTTGAGACGGGGTGGGGGGGGCCACAGATGTTTGAGATGGGGCAGCCAGGGTCCCTGTGAGAGTCCACAAGGAGAAGCTGCCCTGTTTCTCTCTAGTATCTACAGCTTGAGACTCATCAGATTGCTGGGATTATGCCTGTGCCAGAGGGATTTGGGGGCTAAGAGCATCCCTTGGTAGGGTTCTAATGTTCTTGAGAGATTACAGTGGAAATTCTAGTACCCACTCCCTCTCGATTGGAGGCTTTTAGCTGTATTTGAACTGTGCCTATCTGGCTAGAAATGGGAACACGAAAACCTCAATCTGGTTTTGCTGCAGGATCCAGCCAGATGTGACCCAAACTTCATTCATTGTCAAGGGCACCAAACTCTGCACCATCTGGCCAGCCTGGAACTCCGAGTAGCTCTCAGAGGCCACAAGCCTTCTGTTGACTTGGGCTTTGGAAGAGACCAATTTGGGTTTTGAAAGTGCACCTCAGGCCACCTCCTAAGCCTGAAAACATTTATCAAAATGTGGTTGAAGTCCAAATTACCATCAGATGATTTCAGCCATGGTGCCCCCCTCTTTACGTCATAAGATCACTCATCTGTAGATCTGGGAAAGATCCAGTCCAAACCCATCATTCTCCAGCTGTGGTAACCAGGCAGGCCATGAATCCACGGAGGTCAGGGAGGGACACATTGCTGGCTGGTAACAGAGGCCAGGCCAGAACCAATCCTGTTCTCTCCGCTCCAGCCTGGCAGAGCTTCCAGAGAACTCAAACACTGAGAAGACCCTACCAGTGTCCCACCAACTTCAGTCAATATTTGCCATCACAAGATGCCAGCAGAACCTAGAGAAGCTGGAATCTGCATTCACGTGACTTCACAGGTTCAACTGGAGAAAGACGATTTTTTTTCTCCACACGGCCAAGGCCGTCTGTTGACTCAGGCTGGCCCCTGGAAGAGTGCGCTGTACTTTCCTAGAGTTCCATAAATGCTTAATAAACAACCCGCTGGTTTCTTCCGTTTTGTCACCTCCAGAAAGAGCCACGTGACAGACAGTGCTGGTCCCCTGAGGCATGCTGACCTGGGGTGGCGGAATTAGAGCCTTCAGTCACCAGGGCTTCAATTAACGCAACCATTGGACCCCAGGCTAAGAAAGCTGGGTTGGTGTTTTGGTCTGGTCAGTAGCTACCCTCCAGATTCATTCCTGTCATGACCTGCAGAGGCCAGCAGGGATTTAAGGGGTTCCCGTGCTGGGACCCCCACTTTAAGTAGCAGTGACTTCTCATTTCCCTGTTTGATGTGTAAGATTTGTTCCTGTTCTGAGGGGCAACCTGCCGTGGTACTATCTGCAGGAATCTGTGCTGGGTTCTGTCCTACAAACTCACTCACTCGCGCTCCCCTACAACTTTGTCTAGAACAGACTTCCTGATGCTCAACCCTGAATGTTCTGGCCTGGCCCTGTCCTCCTTTGGGGACCTATGTGATTTTGGTTAGGCATCCCGCCCCCTCTACCCCTCTCCATCACCCCCCACCCACCCCAGGCCCCTGCCTCCACCCCCTGCCAGTGCTGGCTTGGGCCGGGTGATGGGCCCCTTGGTTCCGATTCTGGATGTCTGTGTGCATACAGATTCCCAAGCTAACATCCCCTGGGAACAGGGGACACTGGACAGAACAGTTCTGTGGCTTACTTCCCAGCCTCAGCTGGGTCTTCTCCCCTCCCTGACTTCTTCAGTCCCGCTCTGGAGCAACGCTCGCCTGCCTGGTCAAAGTAAGGGGGCCTAACTAGGCGTAAGTGTTGTAACTGCTACACAATCACAAAGACACCAACACAAGCAATAGTGGCCCAGGCTGTTGTTGTAAGAGACCTGTGGGACACAGGGGAGAACTCCACCCTTAGAAAAATCAGACTACTGGGACTCAAACGGAAATTTGATGATTTACTTACATCTTCAAAGGAACTCTGAATGGGGACTGAAATGCACCCACTCAGACAGAGAGATAAAATTTTGAAAGTCTGAACATTCTGATGTGCTGTCCTGACCCCACTTACAAAGGCACCGAATCTCTGCAACTCGTCGGCCAGAGACCAGAGCAAGACTGACTTTTGAGGACCTGTTGTCTTTGTCTCTAGGCACGAGTGTGTTTCTTGTTAAAGGCTCTAAATCTAGTAGCATAATGAGTAGCCTCCGCTTCTATTTCAGTTTTGTTGATCAAAGAAACTACGGATTCATGATTCGTTCCCTTGACAGTTTCCAAGAGCACGCGCCTTTTTTACGCAGTGCTCGCCTGAACCGCGCCCAGCTCTCATCCTGTGCCCGGAACTCCTGGAGCCCTGAGAAAGGTCACCCAGGCAGTGCAGTGGGAATTAACTGACGACCCCTGGGTGGACAGGGCAGGGTGAGCAGGACCAGAACGCTCAGGCCCCAGAGGCCCCTGCAAGATGAAAGCCCTGCTGACTCGGCATTCAGGCACAGGCTTGGGGTGTGGTTGGACTCATGGGCAGTGACTGTCCCCACGGGAACCGGTGGAGAAGAGGGGCAGTAGGTGGGCACAGCCGTGACTTCTTCCTGGAACATAATTACACGTGTGGGCGTGGCATTTCAGTGAGCCCCTGTCAGGAGGACTCACACCAGAGGACTAGGCAGAGGCCCTACTGGGAAATCTTAGCCCTTCTGGAAAACAGGCTCCAGCATAGGGTGCTGGTATTTTGTTTTGTGGTGTGTGTGTGTGTGTGTGTGTGTGTGTGTGTGTGTGTGTACATGCTTTGGAGGTCAGAGGACAACCTTGGGTGTCATTCCTTCAACATCATTCATCTTAGGCTAAGTTGGCTGGCCACCAAGCCCCAGAGATCTTTCTGTGTCCACCTCCTGCTCCGCCTCCTCCTCCTGCTCCTTCTCCTCCTCCTCCTGCTCCTTCTCCTCCTCCTCCTCCTTTTCTTCCTTCTCCTCCTCCTCCTCTTCTTCCCCAAGACAGAGTTTCTAGCTGTCCTGGAAGTTGCCTTGTAGACCAGGCTGGCCTTGAACTCACAGAGATCTGTGATGATATTTTGTTTATGCTCTAACAAATAAAGCTTTTTCTTAAGATCAGAGGGCAGAGCTAAGCCACTAGTTAACCACAGAGGCCAGGCAGTGGTGGCCACACCTTTAATCCCAGCACTGGGGGGGAGGAAACAGGAGGTGACGAAGCTGGGCCGAGAGAGGAATAGAAGGTGGGAGGAGACAGAATTGCCGCTTCGGTCTGAGGATTTCCTAGAGGGAAGAGCTCTAGAAGCCGGCTGCTCTACTTCTCTGATCTTTCAGCTTCCACCCCCTAATGTCCGACTCCAGGTTTTTATTATTAAGAGCAATTAGAACCCATGCTACAGAGATCCACCTGCCTCTGCCCCCTGATTCAAGGCATGCACTCCCCAACCTCCCAATGCTATTTCTGCTTCTTTAGCATGGGTTCTGGGAGCCGCACTCAATCAGGTTCTTGGGCTCGCACAACAAATGCTTTACCCATTGAGCCTTCTCCCCAGCTCAGTGTGTTTTTGATCACATGCTTGTCACGTGACTTCTGCACTGCATTCTACCCACTCCCTGGTCCTCCACACCCTATCCTGCCTTGCAGGGTCTCCCCGACTCACTCCCAAGGCACATCCCCCCAGCAGACTGCACCCTCTCCTCCAGCCTCTGCGCTGGGCTCAGCAGGTGGCTCCACAACCCTGGCCCTCTGACCTCCCTAGGAATTGGTTTTGCAGCCTTGTAGGTCACCTTGTAGGTGTGTCTGTCTGATGCAAAGACCTGGTATTTGGGACTGGGCTTGTACTAATGCCACCATATTCGCTGTCTCCCATCGTGCCCAATCTGTCTCACACAAAGACCGGCGCTGAGGGCCGGATGCCCGCCAGATACTCCATCCAGTGTGTCTAACATGTCCACGCTCGACGTGACAGAACTCTTCGTTCCTGGCACTCAAGACCTGGGCGTGGTGTCACTAGAATGACAGAGGGAGGAGGGCCATCAGTTTGAAGCCGGTCGGAACCACGTACTGAGACTGTTTCTGTTGCTGTGATCACAAGCCACGCCCAAGAGTAAGCTGGGGAGGGAAGGGTTGGTTTAGCTCACACTTCCACACCGTAGCCCATCATTGACGGAAGCCAGGGCAGGAACCGGAGACAGGAGCTGATGCAGACGCCATGGATGGGTGCTGCTTACTGGCTTGCTCAGCCTGGCTTTTTACAGAACCCAGGACCACTAACCCAGGGATGGCCCCGCCCCACCACGGACCTTCCCCCATCAATCACTAATAAAGAAAATGTCCTGAAATAGCCAAATGTTATACTTGTGTCAAGTTGACATAAAACCATCTAGCACAGAGACCCTGTCTGAATGGAGGAATGAGTGAATAAAAAAGCTTATTATACAACGTGGGAGGAGGAAAAGTGGAGATGAATGAATGAATGAATGGAGGAATGAGTGAATAAAAAAGCTTATTATACAACGTGGGAGGAGGAAAAGTGGAGATGAATGAATGAATGAATGGAGGAATGAGTGAATAAAAAAGCTTATTATACAACGTGGGAGGAGGAAAAGTGGAAATGAATGAATGAATGAATGGAGGAATGAGTGAATAAAAAAGCTTATTATACAACGTGGGAGGAGGAAAAGTGGAGATGAATGAATGAATGAATGGAGGAATGAATGAATAAAAAAGCTTATTATACAACGTGGGAGGAGGAAAAGTAGAGATGAATGAATGAATGAATGGAGGAATGAGTGAATAAAAAAGCTTATTATACAACGTGGGAGGAGGAAAAGTGGAGATGAATGAATGAATGAATGGAGGAATGAATGAATAAAAAAGCTTATTATACAACGTGGGAGGAGGAAAAGTGGAGATGAATGAATCTCTCAGTCGGGCAAGTCTTGTCAACTTTCAAATGGGGACTTCCTGTCTGAACTGGATACCCTGTGTTCAAGTCTATCCACTCCAGATGTGAGAGACAGGAGCGGAGTCTGCTGCCTGGGCATTGCCTGCATGGCCCAGCTGCTGTGTGCAGCACTTTCCCCTGTCCAGGCTTCCTACTCTCCTGCACAGGGGTGTGGCGTCTTCACCTAGGCTCTCGGGAAGCAAGATGACTTTAACGCATAAAGACCGGGAAAGGGGCAGCGGGCTGAAGTCATCTCACCTATGCTGTTTCCATACTGCTATGAGTCAGAGGGAGAAGGAGCTTGCCTCAACAGCCTACATCCAGAAGATTGTACGTAAGTGCCATTTGTCAGCAAGGTCTTTCCTGGTCACCCTACTGATGAGGGACGTCCTTCTGTATACATGTTTCTCTTATTGGTTGATGAATAAAACATTTATTGTCCAGTAGCCAGGCAGGAAGCAGAGGAGGGCTACCATGCTGCCGAAGGAGTAGTATGCCGGCAATACATAGATTAACAGGAATGGGTTGATAATTAAGAGAGAGTTAGCCAATGAGAAGCCTGAGCCATTGGCGAAACAGTTTAATAATTAATATAGCATTTGTGTGTTTATTTGGGGCTAAACGACTGCTGGACCAAGGTGGGAAAGAAATCTTCATCTTCATCCTACTTTAAATCATGCTCCTCCTTCCATGAACCTCTTCCTAGCTGCCCTCCTCCAGTATGGTAGGGAGTAAGAGCAGGAATTCCAGACCAGTTCTTTCCATCAACTTCCCCAGTGGTTGGCACACAGTAGGGACACAGGAATGATCCCTCAAAGGAGGAAGAGGCAAACCCCGACCAATGCCACTCTGGTGGGTCTGAGTACCCACGCCCCTGCCTCCCTGTGCTAAGCCTCCACTTGCAACAGCCGCCAATACTAGGCGATGTCTCTGCAGCAAGCCACACAGGCCGTATGGACTCGAGGCCAGCTGCCAGGCTGACGCACAGCCAGCCCGCTGCCTGTCCTCCAGTCTAGCTGTGAGGCTGTGGCACTACCCTCTGCCTTCTGTGTCCTCCTCTTGGACAGGGAGGTCCCTAGGTCACTTCCAGGTTCCTTGGTCCTTCTAGGCCTCTACTCTAGGGAACTGGGGAAGGGCTGGCTGAGTGCCTGGCCTTCCTTGATCTAAACGCAGCCCTGGCAGCAAAGGGACCCAGGAGCCGGCCTCCCTGCAAGTGAGCTCCTGTGGCCTGGGACTGATCCTGTGTGAAGAACACTTGCCGAACCCTTTGAAACTGGGACGGTCCTTCGGGTGGGGCAGGAGTCTGGCTGGGAAGAATTTTTCTTATTGGCAAGCATGTCCTTTTCTCTGGCATCCTTTTCCCCAGGAATTCCCTTCAGCTAAGAGAGAAAAGAAAAAGCAAACAAAGCCACCCTCTCTGCCCACGGAGGCCTTTTCTCCTCACTGTGAGTCCCTGATAAGAGAACCCGGCTGCCAACGGTGGCCGGCATCCTGTAGCAGGGCTTCTGCAGCCCAGGCCGGGCCTCATTGGCCCATGATTAATGAGCAGCCACCAGGGGCGGGGCACAGTGAGCTGGATGGCCCTCAGGTAGTGACTGCGAGGTCAACGGTAGGTGAAGTTTTGGAATGGGACGAGAATTCAAACAGCCAGCCAAGCATGTAAAAAGTGCCAGCTGTGACTAATTTATGTCTCCCTGCCCATCTCTCCCCCTCCCTCTGTTTAGGCACTGATTCTTATTAACAACCTCCAGGCGTGTCCAACCTGCGGGGCTGGCTGGATGCATCCCAGGATAGCTATGAACTGGGCCCAAAGCATCTGTAGATGGCATCAAGTCAGACGTCAACGAGTTGGACATCCTGGACTGATGAGGAAGCTCAGCAGGTGAAGGGGACTACTGCCGTGTCTGACAGTCTCCAGGACGCACAGGTGGGAGGGGAGAGCCAACTTCCTCTCGTTTCCTTCTGACCTCCACACACGTGTGTGTGGTGTTGCACGAGTCCCCCCACTAAATAAATACATACATAAATAAATGAATAAATAAGGTTGGGCATTTAATGGTAGACATTTAAGAGAGAGAGATTATCTGACCTGCTCTCTCTCTCTCCTCTCTCCTCTCTCTCTCTCTCTCTCTCTCTCTCTCTCTCTCTCTCTCTCTCTCTCTCTCTCTCTCTCTCTCTCTCTCTCTCTCTCTCTCTCTCTCTGGTGGTTTGAATAGATAAGGCCTCCACAGACTCATGTGTTTGAATGCTTGACCCATAGAGAGTGCTCCTATTAGGAGGTGTGGCTTGCTGGAGTAAGTGTTGAAAGAAGTGTCACTGTGGAGGCAGGCTTTGAGGTCTCCATATAAGCTCAAGCAGCACCCAGCGTCACAGTTTTCTTCTGTTGCCTGCAGATCACGACTTCAAACTCTCAGCTGCTGCAGCACCGTGTCTAACCACACGCCTCCATGCTTCCCGCTGCTGTGAGGACAATGAACCAAGCCTCGGAACTGACGGCCAGCCCCAATTAAATGTTTTCCTTTGTAAGAGTTGCTGCGGTCGTCTCTTCACAGCAATGGAAACCGCAAGGTACTCCCCCTCTCCTGTTTGTCTGTGGTGTACACGTGTGCATAAGGGTGTGCACACATGTGCAAATGTGCATGTGGAGAACAGAGTATGAAGCTAAGCTGTCTTCCTCCATCACTCTTCACCCAGTTGCTGAGGCAGAGTCTCTCACTGAGCATGGAGCGCATCGGTTTGGCTACACTGGCTGGCCAATGAACTCAGAGATAGATGTCCATCCATCTCCACTCTCTAGGCTGGCCAATGAACTCAGAGATAGATGCCCATCCATCTCCACTGTCTAGGATGGCCAGACAAACTCAGAGATAGATACCTACTGTCTCCATTCTCTAGGCTGGCCAGATGATGAACTCAGAGATATCTATCCATCTCCACTCTCTAAGCTGGCCAACCAATGAACTCAGAGACAGATATCCATGCATCTCCACTCTCTAGCATGGCCGGCCAGTGAACTCAGAGATAGATACCCACCACCTCCACTCTCCCAGCACTGAGGTTACAGGTGCTAGTCAGTCCCTGACTTTTTACATATGTGCTAGCATCAGACTTAGGCCCTCGTGCTTACGTGGCGGGTACTTCACCCACTCATCCAACTCCCCAGCCACCGACATCCATCCTCTTCATGCCAAGGGACTCCGGCTTTGGTGGAGATCTAGCTCAGACTGGTTTCTGCTGTGGAGAGTTCTTCCATTCAACCCAGAGGCCACTTGCCACATATGGCTACTGTGTCCCCCGAGATGTGGCCAACCCAAACTAAGATGAGCTAGAGATGCAAAATATGCCCAGGATCTTGAAGACTTCATGTGACTTCCTCCAGCAAGAAGAATAATCCTGTAATCACCTTTACATTGATTCCATGTTTAAATGATCATATTTGGGATATAAAGGTTCAAGTAGAATTATATTACTAAAATCACAATTTTAATATGATGAATAGAAAAGTTAACAGTTATGCACACAGCTCATATTGTGCTCTGTTGCCTACCTCCGGTACAGGACTCGGTTTTCTTAGAATTCTGAGTCCCTAAATTCAAACTACAAAGGCCAACATTTTGTCTTACCTTACCCACCCGCCTCACACACCTCAGGGCATTTCCCTCAATACTCTACACTTCAGGCGGCTGTTAGTTCCAAACGTCATGAGGAGGGAGTCAAAATTAGAGCCCTTATCCATCCACAGCTCCGAAAGGAACTGAATTCTCATTTTTCTCCTAAGTCTACATGTGGGTAGCCCCTCTAGTGGGCTCCTGTCCCGTTACAAACCTCAGCTCGAGTAATTAACGGTACTGACTGGTTTTGTGTCCACTTGGCGCAGCTAGAGTCACCAGACAGGGAGCAGCCTCCAGTGAGGAAAGGCCTCCATGAGATCCAGCTGGAGGGTGTTTTCTCAGTTAGTGACTGATGGGGGAGGGCCCCGCCTACTGTGGGTGAGGCCATCCCTGAGCTGGTGGTCCTGGGTTCTATTTGAAAAGAGGCTGAGCAAGCCAGGGGGAGCAAGCCAGTAAGCAGCACCCCTCATGGCCCCTGCAACAGTTCCTGCCTCCAGGTTCCAGCCCTGGCTGAGGTCCTCTCCTCAATTCCTCCAATCTGGAAGTGTAAGCCAAATAAACCCTTTCCTCCCCAACTCGGTCTTTGGTCATGGTGTTTCGTTGCAGCAATAGAAACCCTAAGACAGTTAACACAGTGCCTGGAAAGCCATTGATTAGCAGTTAGATTAGGGACAGCCCCGGTGGGAAGTATTTAGGGGGGGATGGAGTATCATACTTCCATGTGCTGCTATAGCTTGGTACTCAAGAGAGATTTCTCGGAGTAGAACTCTGGAGATTTGAACACCAGCATCAGCCCTCACTAGTAACTACGGGGGCCTTGAGAAATCCACTTCCTCAGACTGAAGTTTCAGCATTCCATAAGCTGGGCAGGTGGCTGCCGAGAGTCCTTCCCTCTTTTGTGGTGGACTTCAGTAATTCCCACTCTCTATGTCTTCATTAAGGCAAGCTTCCTGATTATATCACAGTTGAGAAACGATGGGCCAGCAAGATGACTCAGCAGGCACAGGTTCTTGCCGCCACGCCTGACCTGTTGGAGGGAGAGGACCAACTCTTGCAAGTTGTCCCCTAGCCTCCTGCACACCACGGTGCACACATAGATAAATGCAACTTCAGTATCAGGAAACGGCCACAAAAAGCTGAGAACGTTGTAATAGACTTTCCAACACTCTACAGGAGGTTTGTCTGATAAAACCTTTTCTTCTTTGAAATTTGGCACTGTGAGATCTAAGCTACAAAGGTCCTTCACACACACTGCAGTATTTTATAGTGAAAGTCATACCTGATCCACACACCACACTCCTGGACATCTACATATTTACATATAAATGGATTGTTTTCAGGTAAAAAGAAAAAAAAGTGATGACTTTTAAAGGAAACTCTCTGTGCCTTTGTAGGTCCCACGGGCTTAGGGGCGGTTTTTGGTTGTCTGGTGAATCCATAGCCAAGCTGGAAAGCTTGGCAGCCCTCCTTAGGAAAGACCCTAAGCCGAGTAGGTAGTGAGTGCCCCAGGAGGCTCCAGGTCAATCAGATGAAGATGCCATGTGCAGACACAGCTAATGAGGGAAGAGGAAATCACTGGATAACAAGTTTCACCTTCCAGATCAACGACACAGGGAACAGCTGGGATGAACTCGCAGAGGTGGGGCATCAGCCGAAAGGGAAATCTTCCAGAGGACCAGGACATTCGTCTGCTTGGCTGCCCTGACAAAAGACCACTGATGGTGGCTGAAGCCACACGTGTTTGCTCCTCACAGTGGAGGCTTGAAGACCAAAGCGGAGCAAGCCTGACTTCTCCAAGGGCTTTCTCCTTAGCCCAGAGCCCCTCTTAGTCCCTCATGCTGTGAGTTTCTGTGGTGTTAACTTTTTTTTTTTTTTTTTTTGGTTTTTACAAGACAGGGTTTCTCTGTATTGTTTTGGAGGCTGTCGGTCCAGCCAGGCCTCGAATTCACTGTGGTGTTAACTTTGCATTTGCTGTCTGTGCTTGGATTTGTTGTTTGTTTGTTTGTTTTTAATGATTTTATGCCTGAATATGATATATTGTGCGATCACATTCACAGCAACCCACGCATTCTATTAACCCTCTCCCGCTCTTACTGGACCCGTTCTTTTCTCAACTAGTTTACCTCCTATTTCTGTTTTATTTGTGTGCATGTGCATGTGTGCATGAGTCTGTGTCTGTGTGTGTGCATGTACGCATGCACATGTGTGTGTTAATTTAGCATGCACATGTGTGTGCATATATACATGTGTGTGTGCACATGTGCATGTATGTCTGTGTACATGCCCTCAAGTGCCCTCATCTGAAGGTGAGGGAGACTTGCAGAGGCTTAGTCAGCCTTTGACAAGGCGCTTGGTGAGGCACTAATTCCCTGTTGCTTTCTGGTTGCGCTCCCGGGGTGGAAGATCCAGGCACCTAGCTCTGAGGTTCTTATTGAGGGTCCCTGAAACGGTTTGTAGCTCCATTGGTAAAGTGCTTGCCTAGCACACAGGAAGCCTTCCTTAACCTCTTAGCACCACATAATCTGGGAATGGTGGCACACCCCTGTAATCCTAGTGCTTGGGACATGGAGGCGGGAGGACCAGGAGTTCAAAGTTACTTTGATAGCTACATCAAAGATCTAGGCAGTCCTGGGATACGTAAGACCTGTTATACATTTTTTTAAACACACAAAGGAGGAAGGCATAAGGACCTTTGGAGGGAAGGTAGAGGAGTCAAGTCAGAAGATTCAGAATGCAATCAACCCCTCAGTCTTGTCCTTGAACTTGACCCTGCTGATTTATGGGGATCCCCGGATGGCCCTTGTGGCTTCCCCCCTCATTCTTCTGGTGTGTGTGTGTGTGTGTGTGTGTGTGTGTGTGTGTGTGTGTGCTGTCTGTTTTGACTCTGGAGGGCGAAATGCCTATCATGAGTGAGAGGGTGGAGGTGTTGCCGGTTAACACAGAGCATTTAAATGAAGGTAATCTGGGCAAACCAGTCTTGGAGTTGGAAGGAAAGATAGCCTTTGTTCTCCAAATAAAGACGCCCGGCCCTGAATATGCACAGCACTGTCCCTCTGTGCCTTGAGAGCCAGGCCAGGAGCTGGGTCCATGGAGCACACAGTCCTGCTTTGGTTTAGAGCTGCTATCGGCGGCGAGGGCACTCGCTTAGTCCTGTTCCCTTCCCGAAAACCCGTTCATCAAGAATCATTTAAATGCAGAAGACATGGAAAAATGTGTCATGCAGAATTGTCTTTTCCGAAATGTGGGGGTTCCTGTGTTAAGCAGTGGCCTGATTTGTTCTTGGCCTCTGACCCCTCTAACGCTCCCTGGGCTTGCCAAGTGCCCCAGGAAAGGACCCACAGAGGAAGGTGGTCACAGGGAAGCTGTCCACAGGCTGTGACGAGTGCTTTTGTTGAAATGGAGATTTTGGGTTAGAGAGCCAAAAAAAAAAAAAAAAAAAAAACCCTCCTGGGCAAAACCAGAAGAGACTCATCAAAATGCAGGCCCCTACATGGAGAGGGACACTATTTAACTCTTAATTTAAAAGGGAGATGGGACAGCATGCCACTGGCCTCCCAGAAAACATGGCACCATTCCCTACTACACTGAATAGATTGAATCCGCCTTCTATTTTTAGGCTTGGTCCATATTTTGCTCTTTTCTCTTGTTTTCCTGTTACTTGCTTCTTATTAGCACTGGACAGCAAAAGCACCCTGAGTCACTTACCCCACAGGATATCACAGCAAGGCACCCCGAATCTGTTACCCCACAGGGTATCACAGCAAGGCACCCCGAGTCTGTTACCTCACAGGGTATCACAGCAAGGCACCCCAAGTCTGTTACCCCACAGTGTATCACACCAAGGCACCCCGAGGAGTCTGTTACTCCACAGAGTTATCACTGCAAGGCACCCCAAATCTGTTACCCCATAGTGTTATCACAGCAAGGCACCCCAAGTCTGTCACCCCACAGGGCATCACTGCAAGGCACCCCGAGTCCATTCTGGAACAGGACACGCTTAGCCACAGCCTGTGCACCCCACCTGGCTGCACTAGAGCTGGGTCTGTCTACTTCGTCCCCAGAAGACAGGAGTGTGGGAAGGAAGTTGCCCAGTCTTAACCATTTGTAGGCTCAGCTGGCCGGCAGTGAAAGTGAAGTCTCAGGGAGTATCCTGAAGGGACCCATTACCCACACCCTGGAGAGCTGTCCTGTGCTCTGGGCCGAGGGTTCGGATTTACATAGGGCTCCCCAGTACGGTGACATCAAGGGAAGCACACAGTGTCCCCCCAGTACGGTAACATCAAGGGAACCACATAGTGTTCCCCCGCCACACATGCAGATTGCATTGGCTCCAAACTCAGCAGCCCTCCCAGGACCCCTCGCCTCTGAGCTACCTGGCGAGTCAGGTTAGAGAACAACACAGACTAACCTTGATGGCTTCCTTCAGCTTCCCGCTGGGCCCTTTTCAGCTCCAAGGACCCCACTGGGTCTTTCCCCAGTCCCTTAGAAAGACCACAAGCCCTAGCAGCTCTGCCCAACACCCCTAATTCCACTGCTTCTTCTCACCCAGCAGCGGAGTTACACAGGAAGTACATTTTCCTCCTGTGTGGCCTCTTGGGAGCTGACCTTTTGTCTGTCTGCAAGTTCTCTCAGCGTCTACAGTGTGCCAGCTCTCTGGATTTATGGCTAATTTACTCCCTACCCCCTCTGTATCCTGGTTTGTTTTTTTTTAAACTGGGCAGATATTCCAAGTTGACGACAGTATGCTAATTATAAGAGCTTGTCTTGTTCATCTAAACGAGGACGGATTAAGACCTAATTGCCCGAACTGGGGAGACACAGGAGTTTGGAGGAGCGATTCTAAAACCCTTGCCATTGCCAGGGTCTTGGCTGCCTACTCAGGAAGCTCATCATGTTTCCCCAAAGTGGTTTTACACAGTACAGTGAAGCTAGGATAATTACTCTGAAATTAATCTGTATGGAAACCTGTGTAAAGCGGCGTGACACTTAGACAGCAATGGAGACACCCACCTTACTCCTTTTTCCTCTTGGTGCCATCAGGGTTTGTGGAGCTCAGGTAAGATCCGCTCGCTCACAGCTGACTGGCTCTGGCCCTTCATCATCCTGTAGACCTTAGAAGACCCAAACACAGCAAATGGAGCGTACTCCCTCCTTCTCTGCTGTGAGCAGAGCTAGGGATCGGAGCCAGGGCCTTGAGCTCGGCAGACAAGTACTCCGACCAGGAGACACCCCGAGCTATCTGCTGTCTGTTTTTGAGACAAGGTCTCACTAGTTGCTCAGGCTAGCCCCCTGGCACTCCCTCTGTAGCCCAAGCAGGGTTTCACCTCTCCACTCTCCTACCTCAGCCTCCCTGACAGCGGGGATTGCAGGCCTGTGACACTAGGCTCCGCTGGTCAGACGATTTTTGAGTGAGACTTGAAGTGGGTTTTGACAGTTAGAACCGAAGAGAGTCCAAGAGGCAAAAGACGCAGAAGAAGCAGGGATCAGCCTGTTAGAAAAGAGCACCCCAGACTGGGTCTCATTAACCTGGGGCAGCCTACGCTACCGTGGTTCCTCTGTAGTCACATTTCTACCCACTGTCACCAAATATCCGACAGAAGCTACGCAAGGGAGAAAGGGTTCAGTTTGGCTCATAGTTCAGGGGGTACGGTCTGCCGTGGGAAGGCGGGGAAGCAGGAGCTTGTCACATAGTTCATTCATGTCCTTGGATCAGCAAGCAGCTCAGGCCAGAAACCAGGCGGACCAATAACCTTCAAGTCTCACCCCTCAGTGACTCACTTCCTCAAGGGGACCCCATCCCCTAAAGGCTCCACAGCCAGACAGTGGCTCAGCATGTAGATGTGCTCCCGAGTCTGACCCCTTGGGTCTGATTCCCGGAACCCGGGGCAGGAGAACATTGTCATCCTTTGGCCTAGCGTGCACTCCAGAGTGGCAAGTGGGCACACCTCCTCAACACCACCCACACATGTTAATATCCTTTTTTTTTTTAGAAGACTCTACAACCTCCTAAAGCAGCAGCATCAACTGGGAACAAAACACTCAAGTACACGAGCCTGAGGGAGACGTTTCACATCTGCGCGTGAGAGCCCCTCACTGGCCAATTCGGGGAGAAGCCAGACCTTGGCTATGGCTTCTTATATCACCTCAGCCATGGCACAGCTGTCTGCTCCCACATTTCTATTCCGGTCTTAACTTTCCTCCCTGACCCCATCCAATGCTTCCCGGACTAATTGTCACACCAGGCTCTTGGGACAAAAAAACATTCCCATGAAAATGCTAGCAGCTGATAAGATAATAAGGGGCATTGTGTTTCAACTTTGTGATTCAGGCCACTGAATCTCTCCGAGTGGATTTCAGATGGTGTTCATGATCCGGTAAGGGGCAGCCCATCTGCACAGCCCTTGGCACACCTGCCCTACCTGAGCCTTAAGTCCGTCCGTGATGGGGGCTGCCACAGGCTGGTTGTGAAATATGAAATACCTCCCACAGACTGGTGTATCTGAAGTTTGTTCCCAGTTTGTGGTTCTGTTTTAGATGTGATGGAGTCTTTTTTTAAAAATTTGTTATGATTAGTGGCTGGTTCTCTCTCTCTCTTTCATATGTGTGTGTGTGTGTGTAGAGGCACAAACATGTCATGGTATGTGTATGTATAAAGTCAGAGGACAGCATTAGGGAGTCAGTTCTCTCCTTCACCTGTGGGTTCCAGGAATCAAGCTAGGATCATCAGGCAAGTGGCCGCATCCTTGCCTAATGGACGCACCCTAGGGAGAATCCGTTTACTGAAGTCAAGGTATACCCAAGTGAAGACCTTTGCCTTCTTGCTCTGTGTCTGAGAGGAGACTCCATGACCTGCTTTTACCGCCAAAGTGAACATCTAAGGGACTGGAAGAAAAGTGAGACCTGCGTGGATCGTCTGTGATGCCAGGTAAAAGTCCTTCAGATGGGAGCACTCTGAGACCATTGATCTTGGCACCATTTTAGTTCCAGAGCCAGAGCAGTAACTGAGACAGGTTCCCAGACACGTGAGTCGTGAGGGAGACAGCCCCTCCCTCCATGACAGTGAGGGAGCCAGAGGCTGAGCAAAGACACAGCTGTCTCAGATAAAGCTGAACTGTGACCTGGGCCACTGTAGCATGCTCCAATGCTTGCCCTGTCATCCCGCGGGGCAGTAGCAGCTGGCCTTTGAGGCCTCTCACTGCCTACCCGCCACTTTCCCCCGTGAGGCTGACTTCCCGGGTCACACCAGCTTGGGGTGAGGCCCTGCCTGGTAAGAGCCGTCAGGCTGGTCCCTCTGGAGAAATGCAACATCTGCATGAGGCCTGTATGCAAACCACCCACACGCTAGCCATCTGAAGTGGTTGCTCCTAGAAACAGAGATAAACTACAGTCCAATTAGGAAGAGTTTCCCTGGCTTTGAGACAAGTCTGGTAAAGAACTTTCCAGTGTGAAAAAGGAGCCTGGGGTTTAAGGTAAATAATGATTTACCAAAAAGCAACTTGATAGTACATGTGAAAACACGGACATGGCACCTTTTATTTAAAAAAAATTAGAGAAAAAAAAACACCTCTGTATACAAGCTGGCTGCCTGTAAAACCTCGTGCCACAAAATCCCTTCTGGTGAGAGTCAGCACCAGGCAGACATTTTAAATATTTAGCATCTTCTTGGTCGTATCACAGCTCTGCCTTGTGCATCTGTGTTTGCTTCACAGGCTGATGCAACAGGATGCAATTTTACTGATGTCACATTTACCCACCTGGTTTTTCGAGCCCTGGCAGGAGCAGGGGGAGGGCTTTCTGGTGATGAATACCACCACCCAAGCCCTTCAGTACCGAGGCCTGACCTGCTATCCTTCAGTGACGTCAGAGGCCGCTCAAGTGTTTTGTTTTGTTTTTTTGTTTTGTTTTGTTTTGGTTTGGCTTTGGTTTTTCGAGACAGAGACTCGCTGGAACTCACTCTGTAGACCAGGCTAGCCTCGAACTCACAGAGATCCGCCCGCCTCTGCCTCCCAAGTGCTGGGATTAAAGGTGTGCACCACCAACTCAAGTGTTTTTGCAACGACTTATGCATGAAGAGCTGAGGAACAGTAGCTGCTTGCTGGCCAAGTGGGTCGCCCCCAGTGAGGTATGTTCCCATAGGACTGGGTGTCTAAGAAGCTGTAGCTCAGCACGAAGCCAGGACAAAGGTGGGCGTGGCCGCATCGTACAGGTGAACTTTGACCCAGGCCTTCTAGCTCAGCAAGCCATCGCATCTGGGTTTCGCTTCAATTTCTCAGGCCTCATCACCGGCAATGTAGTAGCATTGATTCCGTCAGCGCAGCTTTAGAACTGAATACTATGTCTGTTGACAGTTTGGCCGGCCCAGAGGCTCTCAGGCATTAAAAGACTGGGACCCTTTACAGATAGACGGCTTTGTCACTTAAACTCCTCCAGCCCGTGATGCCTGAGGCTTCTCCAGCTCCAGCCTCTACCAGTACAGTGGGTGCCAGGGGCCATCCTATGAGCACTCAGGATCACATGAACGAAGGAGTGTCCTCTGCTGAAGCTTGCTGTCAACTGCCGCCTGGCCTCTGGAAGAGAACGTCTAATAACCACTTTTATGTAGGATCAAGAAGCACCAGCGCTGGGGGTCCCCGAGTGTCCGAGATCTTCTCGCCAAGGCAGGCTAGGTTGGTGTCGTGTGGAGACTGTGACTCCAGGCTACCCGTCCCAGCCTCATTCACAGGCGCTGAAGGACCCTCTGGGCTCCTCTAGAATCTCTCAAGCGCTTTGGAAACCACAGACGTAGTGTGACCCCTTCTACTGCAAGAAGACCCAAACCTAACAGGCAAAGGCCCCCTCATAAGAGGCTCCGCGATCCCCAGTCCTTCTGGTCACCCACACAGTGGCAGCCAGCCTTCTTACTAGGGGCGTGTCCCCCTCCGCAGTCATCTCCTCTTCTCTGTCACTGCTCAGCGCTAAACAGAGGCCTGGTTGTCCTTTGCTCTCTCTGCAACCTCACCGTCCCATGTCCCCTGCCAGGCAGTGACCCTGCCTGTGCGTGATCTGGAAGCGAGGCATCCAGACTGGGGCAGAGGGCAAGGGTGACTTCCTTTGTCGGATGTTGCTACGTTAAGAGAAACGAAACCACGGGTTTGGCAAGGAGGTTGGAGATAACTGACAGCACCGCCTCCCAGAGCTGTGGAGGCTGCCGCAGGCTGAAGACGACGAGACAGACAAAGGGCAAGGGATGGCAGTGTTTGTCTGGCCAGTTTCTGCATCTACTGCCTTTCAGACCCAGGAGACAGAGGGGGAGCAGCTCCCGGCCCAAGGCTTTTTCCTTGGGTTCCAACTGCTTGCCCTGTCCTTGGCCTCCGTCGCTTAGAGCTATCAGTTATTTTCTGACTTGGGCTGCAGGGCCTCTTTGGTCTGTCTTCTACCTTTCCCTTCTTCCCTTTTCCCCTTCAGTCCCACACGTGAAGCACGTGTGTTATACACATATGTTACAGGTGCAATCCCACGCCAGATCACAGTCCTAGAACCGCAGAGCACCACAATAGGAGCATGGATCCACCAGACACACACACACACACACACAGACAGACAAACTACCAACAACCGTGTACAAAACTGAACTGGTTCCAGCCACAACACACACACACACACACACACACACACACACACACACACACACACACGGAAAAGATGTCTTCTGAGCAGGCAGGTGACCTTGGCAGCTGCAAACAGACATGGATCTCCTCAAATGCCTTTTGATGACAATTGTGTTGAGGGCTTGGTGTTCGTTGCTGGTTTAGGTCCTTCTGATACTAGATTCCGAGTGCAAGCATTATTGGTGGTGGGGGTTATGCGGGAGATGCTTGTTTGGTTTGAAGGTTCCTTGGGAGAGACTCAGGGACTGCCACTCAGGCTGAAGGCGGGACAGCCAGGTCACAGTGCTCAGGGATCTAGTCTCCACCATGGCTCTGCTGGAGATCAGCTGCCCAGCGCCAGAGTCAGCCCCCTTCCCAAGGCCTTCTCATCTCCCCTGACAGTAACCTAGAGGTCAATTTACTCACTGAGGGGGAAGAAAAAACCTGTGCAGAGAACTCTTCATCAGAGTTGAAAAGTAACTGAAGGAAGCTGTGAATTATTTTATTACTTTTTAAAGTCTGCAAGGAAATGCATGGTTTAGAGTTCCCTGTTAAGTCAGTAGGTCGGGAACATTTATTGTGAAAACAGTGATTTTACAACCACTGACCATAGTATTTGAGCTGGAAAAAAAAAACAGGAAGGGTAGTTTAACAAAAATAAGGGAAGAGGACAAAATATCTAACATTGAGATCTTGCCAGAAAATCTGCAGCACGTGGTAGTTTTTTGACGGTCAAACACAAGATTAATACCACAGAGTTGAATAACAGTTATTACTCAAAGTCAGGAGTTTTCCCATATGTCAGGAGGATGCTAAGTAAAGGTTGTTATATTCTACTTCAGTTGGAAGGAACTATATATATGTCAATTATACTATACATATCAAGCAGTGTATAAGGACATATCTGTGAAGGCATTTATTGTATACATACAGATATTATATTTATATCACATCATTTATATAATTAAGAAAAGCTTTACTTTTGGTTAAAAATGTTCATCTTAAAAAATGCATAAAATTTTAAACAAAGCGTTCAGCCTTAAATACTTAAATTCCCATTTCTATGGAAACCCTCAGCCATATTTCGTAAGAGTCCCAGATTTCCTCCCAGACCATTTATAAACAAACTCCAAGAACCTATGAAGTTGCTTTCATGCTTTTGAGGGCGTGTCCAATTGCTCGTTCCCTGTCAGATGAGAAACCGTTCTGTGGCTTCTCAGACCACGTCTTCGAGTTTGGAGATGAGAAGTCAGAAATCGGCCCATTAAGGTCCCTTCATCCCCGGTTTACCTTTCAGTTTGAGATGAAGTTATCCAGGCCGGCCTTAAAATGTTGGTCCCAGGGAGACTGCAGTCAAGGGGGTGCATTCTCTTTGAGCCTGGAGCCTCAAGAAGACGGAGGTCTCTGGAATCCAGAACATTTAACTTCCATGTCCAACCTTAAATGCGAGGTTAACTCCATCTTCCCCTTCTTACCTTCCACATTTAAAAATAAAAGAGTTCTGTTATAAAAGTTGATCTTTCTGCCTTAGGCTACCAAGAAGCTTGGATTTGAGGCCTGTGCCATCAGACACAGCTTGTTTTAGTTGGGTTTTGTTTTGATGGGGGTGACTTTATGGTTTGGGTTTTTAAAAAGATGTTGGTTTGAAGTAGTCTTGCGTAAAGCATCCTCTCTTGGGCTCGTAAGCATCCTTGTTCTAGGTAAGTGACAAGTGGGATTCCCAGGAGAAACGGCAAAGCCAATGATTACAAGAAGCCACGCCATTCTAAGTAAAACAAAACTGAAGATTCCTTATAGGTTGGTGGGCATGTATGAGGTAACCGCCCACTCTCTGCTGGGACTCCACAGGAGGTCTCTTCAGCTCCAGCTCCAGCCTCTCTGGGTGTAGTGGGTGCCAGGGGCCATCCCGTGAGTGTGTGCATATCTGTGTGTCCATTCACATGTGAGTGTATGACTGTGTGGGCTTTGTAGGACTGGAGCCGTTGTACATGATTGCTGGTAGTCGTGTCTGTCTGTGTGTGTGTGTGTGTGTCTGTTGGATCCATGCTCCTGTTGTGGTGCTCTGTGGTTCTAGGACTGTGATCTGGCGTGGGATTGCACCTGTACATGTGTGTATAATATGTGTGTTTCATGTGTACACCTCATACCTGGCTCTGCAAACCTAGTCCCAAGTCAAGGCTGTGGGAGTCCTAAGTCCCAGGAGGGCAGCCTGGTACCATTATTTTGCAGAATGCACAAGTCAAGCTTAGTGTTGTCCCAACCTGAGTCAGAGGGACCTCTCTGGCTGCAACGGGAGCGGTTATTAACACAGAGCCTGCGAACAGGTCAAAGCGCTGAGAGTAAGTGGCAGCCAACGCTCAGGACATTATGTCACCCCCACCCTGCCCCCAAGACTCAGAAAACATCTGGAATAAGGGGCAGGAAGAACATAGGAGCCAGACGAGGGGTGCTGTAGACTCCTGTTTTCTGAACTCGATGGCCGGAACTCAGGGCAGCTATGGTCACCTGCACACAGGCGCCGCAGGAGCTCAAGCCAGTCAACATTCCAGCACTGATGGGGAGGGCGCGGGAGACCCCAGCCGAGGAGCTAGGAGCTATTGGCAGTTGACAACTGGGGGGGCAGGGGGACTGGGAGTAATTTTTCTTCGGAAGGACAGCCACTGGTAGGATGTTCACGGTTCATGTGCACATGGGCGGTACTAATTAGACTCAGTGGGCTATAAAAACATAAAAAGTGGACACGAGGTGGGGGGGGGGGCGTGTTGGGAGGTTTATGTGCGAGGGTCGGAAGTAGATACGGTTAAGATATATTATGTATACATGTATGAAAATATTAAATAGTAGATCTGTTTGGTCCAGCCGACCAGTTCGGCCTGTGCTTGAAAGGAAGAGTGATAACTGAGGAAAGAAATAGACAAGAAACAGAAATTTTAAATATTCTCTCTCTCTCTCTTTTTTTTTTTTAAAGTTTTAAAGCAGAAGGCCGGTCATGAAATGCTCTGCTCAAGTAAGCGAGTGGTAGGATTTCTGCTCACAGCTCACCTCTGCGTTCTCACGTCCCTGTTAAATCAATGTCGTCTCACGGGTCAGGCCACAAGGTCACAGGTCTGTCCGAGTCACGGGTGCTAACGTAACAGTAAATTATTTGTCCAGTCAGATCATGGACTGCGTTTACAATCTAGACTTTTCCGGTTGGGTCTAAGCCTAAGGCTCCTGAGGTGTCTGCCCCAGATCAGGGCTTTGTACCCTGGCACTCTCCTTCAGATTAAAGTCAAATTGGCTTTTGAAGCCGTCCCCTCCAAGCTCCCGGAACTGTGACTCCATTCTCCTTGCTTGGAGATGTCCTCCTTTCTTTGGTGGCTGGCCAGTGATCCCCTTCTTAGTTAGCTCCCAGAGCTCACTCTCAAACTAACACCCTGGAGTTTGCATTACAATAGATTGATCCACACTAAACATGACCTTGGGGGTGTTCTCGAAGCTGGGGAGGTTGGCAAACAGAAACCCTGAGAGCATTTAATCCCTCTGGCATAGCAGCGTGGCACCGACCCACCAAGACAACGCTGTGGAGAGCTCTTTCAGAGTCATTTTTAGCACAGTGCTTGCATTCTGGCTGATTGGAAGGCTGAAGCTGAGGAAGAGTGTGTGGGAAAGCGGGTGATTACTGCTCCCTGTGTGACGCTCATCCCTCCTGACAAATCGGCAGCAGGGTAATCCCACCACAATTAGCTGACCTTCCATTGATCCTGTGTCTACATCCTATGTCCTCGGTAGGCCTCTTAGCCATTTCATTAGCTTTCTTTAGGGCCAGTTCACACACACACACACACACACACACACACACACACACGCACGCACGCACGCACGCACGCACGCGCACACACACACACACACACACACACACACACACACACGCACGAAGCCCTCTGGAGCTCCAAGTGCAAACGCTGTGTATTTGAGAGAGGAAGCAAGGCTCGTGCTTATGGCTCTGCTCCTCCTTGGTCACTAAATAAAGGCATTGTGCCAATCAGCGAGCCCACGCCTACTGTGCAGTCCAGCTCTGCGTTCAGCACGGAGCTGGCAAGATCATACTTCCTTCTCACCGCCCTCTGACAGAGGTTCTGGTGTTTCTTCTCATTTGACTGGAACTCACCATGCAGACCGATCTGGCGGGAAACTCATGGCCGCCCTACTGCTCTGTCCCCCGTTTGCCACCTTCCCAGCGGTAAGCACTTCTTTTAATCACCCTATACCGGTGTAACTAGGGTATAGTCTTGACTGACAGCTAGACACAAACGGGAATCATCTAGGAAAAGGGAACCTCGACGGAGGAACTGTCTCCATCAGACTGCCCCAGGGGCACTGTCTTCATTGATGATGCATGTGGGAGGGGCTAACCCACTGTGGGTAGCACTGTGCCTAGGCAGCTGAGCCAGCCAGAAGGAGCCAATGCGTAAGTATTGCTTCTCCATCATTTCTGCTTCAGGTCACTGCCTGCCTGGATTTCCCGCCTGGACTTTCCTCAAGGATGAAAGATGAAATAGGCCTTCCCTCCCCGGGACGGTTATCACAGCAGGAGTTAGAGCACACCCTGGAGTAGCCCTCTCTGTGCTCCTTACTTCTTGGATGTGCTCCTATTCCTCTGTGTTACTTCTTCAGGTGTCAACCATGACTCCCAAAGAAACCCAGAAACCCTCCTGGGAAGGAACCACGTGTTCTCTTCTTTACCTGCTTCATGCAGAGAAGGAGGCGTGCACTCATCGTGCGTGGTGATGGATGGAGACTGGATCCCATGCACTCTGCATGTATAGAGACAGGTGGACAGTGAATTTCATATACGCATGCATGGTGACAGATGGACAGTGGATCCCATGCACCCAGCATGTGTGGTGATGGATGGACAGTGGATCCCATGCACTCTGCATGCATGGTGACAGATGGACAGCAGATCCCATGCACTCATCATGTATAGAGACAGATGGACAGTGAATTTCATATACACATGCATGGTGACAGATGGACAGTGGATCCCATGCACTCTGCATGCATGGTGACAGACCATGGCTCCCACACTTCAGCTGGCTGTGCACGGTTTCCCTGTTCAGTCAGGCCAGCTGCAGACAGCAGCCCCGATAGGGTGGGGCAACTTGAGCTCCAGTTATACTTAGTCCACAGAGTGGCCTTGGGCTGCATCTTCTGGTTGCAGAAAGCCAGCTGTGAGTGAGTTCTTGCGGTTTCCTGAAATGAAATTTATTTTATAAGTTTCTATTGAAGCATGATGTTGATACTACTTATAGCCTCAACGGGTAACAAGGTTTACAGATGACAACAGAGTTGTCATGCCCCAGTCTCTGGAAAGAGCCATCCAGCAGACACACATCACAGCCCCTTCTGATGCTTGTTTCTGGTGCCAAGGACAATGCTTGCCTCCTGGTCTTTCTTTATTCTTCAGGAGGTTCAGTGTTTGGAAGGGGAAGTCTCTTTCCTTCTGGTAGCCAAGGAAGTGCTGCTCCGTGTTGTGATCCGATTAAGCCAGTTTCTTAATTCCTTAATTGTTTGCTCAGTACGGGTAACGTCTAACAGAAAGAGGATTGCTGAGCATGTCTTACCCCGAAGCTATCCATTCTGGCCAAATCCTGACACATGCTCCACACAAAACAAAAACAAAGTAGTCAAACAATCTGTCTTTGATTATTTGTTTTGGGACAGGGTCTGACTGCGTAGCTCTCAGTGGAGTGTTTCAGTGCGAGAGGGAACTGCTACACAACACACAGATGCAGAAGTCAAACTCAGGTCTTCATGCCTGCAAAGCGACCACTTCACCCTCTGAACCACCACCCCGGCCCACGTGCAGAGTGCTGTAAATCGTTTACTGACGTTATAACCCCTTCCCTGGGGCCAAATCAATCTGGAACACTGGAAACATCTGCAGAAAGCTGATGGTACACTGCATCTTCAGTTGGGTGTCTGCGCTTGGGCGGGGCGGGGTGTGGTGTGGTGACCCACACGGATGTCCCAAGGATGCTGGGAACCATGGTACCAGTTCAGAGGAAGCCCGAGGAAAGCCGTGATGCATTCATTATCGAGTTGCTCCACACAGGGTAGTTTCTCCAAGAGAAAGCGCGTGAGTTCTGGGCCACGTGGTGGGGGAGCAGGCCACTCTTGCTGGGAACCTACTGTCTGCCCCTAAAACTCTGGACTCCACCTGGTTGAAGGTTGCGATCTCCCAAAGGGACACGCTCTTGTCAACTGGACTGCAAGCCATAGTCACATCCTGACCCTGGTTTTGCAGGGCTAGAAGCTGACCCAGACTGACCTCCAAGGTGAGATTGGGCTTTACTCAACAGACTCGCACAAGCTCATCCTGAAGATTCAAAACCCGGAACTCCGGCAGGGAAAGAACTCACAGGCTCCTCCGTGGGCTCTGAGATGTGTTTAGACACTCTGTGGTCGTGACTTTCGCTGTTTAAAGGTTAGCTCCCAGCACCACCGAGCCGTGTTAACCCCGAGCCACCAAGGGTCAGTGTACATTTCTTGAAAGCTCTAAGCAAAGCCTGCAGGTCCCATCCCCTGAGGCACCTTTACCCAGGTCATTCACCTTTCAACCCAAGGGTTGGAATTCCTCCTGGACCCAAGATAAAGAACCAAAGTAAGTCTTGGGAAAACTTGATTTTGCCCAATTGGAGACTTACCTTTTTTTTTCACTCTGGGAAATGTAAACTATTTCTCTCTGCCTCCAGAACAGAGAGCAGCTAGTGCTTTGGAAGAGAAAAGACTTATGCTAGGCTCTACGTCAGAACGTCTCCTAATCTTGAGATGTTATCTGGGACAGCCCTATATTTTCAAGTTTTAGTTCAAGTTCATGCCCTTCGGATGCCTCAAACTCAGCATTTCCCTCAACTGCTGACGTAGGGGGAAACGCATGTTTTTCTCTGGAGAAAATAAAATGAGAAAAAAAAAAGGGGAAGGGAAAGAAGGCTCAAATCTCAGTGTCTGGGTTTGTCTACGGTTAGATTATGCCCTCTGAAGAAATCAATTGACTACACTACATCTTACTGGTTTCACCTCTTTATATTAGATACTTTTATTGTTGGAATCAGTGAGATTGGAGCTGGAGAGATGGGTTCTTGTCGCACAAGCAGGAGGGCCTGAATTCAATTCCTACCACCTTGTAAAAAGCTATGCGTGGGGGTCTGTGCCTGTGCACACGTGTGGTCATGCATCCACATATACCCACACGAGACACACACACACAAGACAATAAAAAGGTAGCCTCAGGATTTATATAAAGCAGGCATTTCACTGGGCTGCTGGCTTAGTGCTTCACGGCCCACACAGGCTATCAATTTGGACCAGCCCAGCACTTCAGGTAGAAAAACAAGAGACGCTAAGCATGGAAGCTTCAGCTTCAGTCCCGAGTTAGGCACTGACCACAGTGGGCCTGTAGGTGGGATTGTGCCGTTCCATAGAGGAAGTCACACCACAGCTGTCATTCTCCCACTCAGCCCCTTGTCTGTGTGTCCGCCCAAGTCCTCCCTCACTGTTTATTGCTAGCCGGCTTTTGGTAAAGAGGACAGAGTTAGAAGCCGGTGTGGGCCTGCTCAACACTCCTCCCGAAGCCTAGATACAAATAAGTAGGCCTTCTTCAAAGGCCACACCCCGGGGATCCGTGGACTTTGTTAGTAGTGAGGCCCTGGCTGCTCCAGTTACTGGGAAATGCCTCTTTTGGAAGCACTTTGAAGGCTGCTCCCAAAGCCTGGAGGGACAGGGGCCACAAGGAATCGCACTAAAACTCTTCACAGTTTGAGTGCTGGGTCATCGCCGCCTGCTACGACTTCTTGGGAGTGGGTTTCTCGGTGTCATGGCAATATTAGGTCTACTATACAACTATTGTAGAGACTGTTGGTTATGGGTAAGATGCAACAGTAGCCCTCGTTCTGGAAGAATGTCTGTGTAAGAGTCAGCAGGTGAAGGCTCCTCTCTTTCTCCCTAACAGCTAAAGCATTGCAGCGCCCACCCTTGTCTCAGGACTATTCCTTCACCTTCTTCGTGTTGTTTCTGTCACCTGACAACCCCTCCCATAGCCCGCATTTTACTGTGCGTCCTCTCCAAGTCAAGCCCAAGCATGCTCTCTCCATGAAGTTTTCCCTAGATTCTAAGTACCTCTCCCCCTCCTGTCCCCCCCCCCGCCATCTCTCACTCTCTTCTAAGTACCTCTCCCCCTCCTGTCCCCCCCCCCCGCCATCTCTCACTCTCTTCTAAGTACCTCTCCCCCTCCTGTCCCCCCCCCCGCCATCTCTCACTCTCTTCTAAGTACCTCTCCCCCTCCTGTCCCCCCCCCCCCCCGCCATCTCTCACTCTCCTCTGTGGCTTTCAGAGTTATGTTCATTCTTTGACAAATATTTTGTCGCAGTGACTCACATTCAGCATTTGTTTTCATTCCGAGCTCCCTTGGCTACAGGGGAAGGTCCGCTTAAACAAGCTTAAGCAAAGAAAGGAGGAGAGGGCAGGAGGGAGGGGCGGGAGACAGAGTTAGAGGGCTTCAGGGACGGAGTTGACAGCCAGGCTGGGGCAGTCTGGGAGGGCTGTCTGGGACCATCTGGAGCTTCCCACCCTCAATCCTGAGTGTCACCAGGTAGCCGACCCCGGGTCCCAGGAGTGCTTCTGTTTGCCCGGATCAGTGTCTTTTCTGAGAGGAAGAATTGCTCCTTGAGTAGCTCATGTCTGCAGGAACACCAACTCTTACTCTGACAATGCTCATCTACACTTTGGCCTAATCTCTCTCACTGCAGTGAGCTCTTGGAAGAGTGTGCCTTACTTCACAACTGCCTACCGCCAGTTGACAGCGACCTGTGTCCTCACTTCAAGTGGTGACCAGAGCGGGCACCAGACTGGGGTTATCAATCCTCTATTAGGATCATGATCTATAAGTGGATACAGCTTGTCTGTGTTCCCTCCTCCTCCTCCCTCCTCCTCCTCCTCCCTCCTCCTTCTTTCCTCCCTCCTCCTCCTCCCTCCTCCTCCTCCTCATCACAGGATGAGTGTGAGCTTGCAAGGACAGCACTGGTCAGGCCAGTGCAGAGCGGCTCATGGGCAAGGCTGACAGGAGCACACTTGAGTTTGCCGGCTCTGCCTTTGCTAGAACTTAAGGCGAGGGTCCACGAAACTCCGTGTATACAGTGAAAAGAGCGTTTCCTTGGCATTGGGGGGTGGGGGTGGGGGTGGGGCACAGCTCTGGAATAAGACACATAGTTCTCCTGCCGTGTAGCTGGGGTGTGCAGCCGAATGTGTGCATTTGTAGCAAGTGCTGGGAAGAGATAAAATCTGCTGGTCACATGCCTATCCCCAGAATCATCGCAGTCTCCGCTCTCTAACCCACAGACCCCTACTTTGGACTCTTCCACGAAATCTCCATCCACACAGTCAAACCCAAACACCCAGTTCCCCCTTCTGCCCCTTCCCTTAGTCTGTATGGCGAGCGCTGAACAGGTCTTTGGAGGAGTTGAATGTGGCCAGAAGTCCCCTCGGAATCTTGGGACTCTGACTTCACTAATGGGGAAAAAGAAGAGTCTCAGGGTAGGATTCAAGCTGTGGCCTCCTTTCCATTTCAGGATCACTAAGTGATACCTATTTTGTGGCTCTGGGTCTTCCAAGAGTACGTCGTAGCCAGCTGGGATAATGACTGCGTGCCCCCCAACATGAAATACACCCCAAGGGGAGCTTCAGAGCAGGAGACGACCCACAACAGCAGACCAGGAGAAGGTGTATGGGAGACGGGAGGGGGAGGGGCTGGGACAGGCTCCCTTGTGCTGTGGTAGACATTATGTTACTCTGCACACCTTGGTCCTCTTCCCAATTCTTCTGGAAACAGCATTGTTCTTTTTTTTTTTTTCCCCTTTGGGAAGTTGCCCTTTACTGGTTGAAGCGATCAGTTCGTGCCCTCTTTGGTTTCCGCCAAGGGAATTGGGAAAGATCTATTGGTGGCGGTGGGGTTCTGCCTGCAGCAGCCTGACGGATGCTTTCCAGAGATCTCTGCTCAGTGAAGATGGGATTCCTGACTCACCGAGGAGACGAAGTTTCAGTGAGCATCAGTGTGGTGCATTGCTGGGTCTCCATTAAGCAGAGACTGGAGTGTGAGGTTAATAGGAAGGGAGGCTCTAGAAAAGGTTAAAGACGAATCTAACCGTGGGCGTGGCTTCTCTAGGGAGAGCTGTGCACGCGTTGTAGAAGCAGCCAAATAGACATTTTTTTTTGGCGACTCTCAAGTTGGATCTCAAAGAGTTACTAAAGACCCCTTTGTGATAAAAGGTGGTGCACCTCTGTGAGACCAGGTAATACACCTCTGTGAGCCCAGGGGGTGAACCTCTGTGAGTCCAGGGGGTGAACCTCTCTGAGTCCGGCACTGGGCAGGCAGAGATAGGAAGATCTCTAGATATAAAGAGTTCCAGGCCACTTAAGATTTCAAAGGGAGCCGGGCAGTGGTGACGCACGCCTTTAATCCCAGCACTCGGGAGGCAGAGGCAGGCGGATCTCTGTGAGTTCGAGGCTGGGCTTGACCGACAGCCTCCAAAACAATACAGAGAAACCTTGTCTCGTAAAACCAAAAAAAAAAAAAATTCAAAGGGAGACCCTGTCTCAAAACAAACAAATCCCGAAACTAAGAGCCCTCTGTTTCAGTAAATGAGATCATAAGGTGAGGTGGTCCCAGGGGTGCCTCGGATAGGGTTAAAATCTAATATGAAGCCGTGGGTCAAGGGGTTAAGGTATTGTCTTTTCCGTGGATGGGGTTCCTTGTGCGGTTCCTAGAAGTGAGCGAGCTGACAGGAGAAGGGCTGGGGTTCGCTGCTGTCCTAATGTTTGTCCGGAACCTCCCTGTGCCGAAGGAATACTGTCGGCAGCAGTCCTCACGCCAGTATTAACTGTGCAAGAATTCTTAACTCACAAGCAGGTGGGGGAACGCCAGCCAGTCTAGGGGTGAAGGACTCTTGGTGGCCCTGCCCCTGGCTGCAGGACACATGCATTCAGTAACCCAGGAAAGCCTGTGAGCTGTTAAGGGTCCTGACAGGGCTGACAGGAGACTGACTTCCTTATGAGAAAGAGACCCAGACTCTGAGGCCCTAGGTGTAGGCTGCGTGTTGACAGAAGAGATTAAGTTAACACTGGGACATTCTACTTCAGAGCTATTTTGAAAGAACAAACCAAACCAAGAAGAGGAAACAAAACAAAACACCCTAATAATAGTAATTATAATTCCTCTCCCCGCACTAAGCTGTGTCCCTTAGTAAAGGCAAGTGGAAAACACAATCTCTGCTTTGTGTGAGCAGATATGCGCGGCCCCGGCGGGCGCAGGCGCACTACGGGTCAGGGCTTACGGCTTCTCCTCCTTTGATGCTTCCGTTGCCTCCAAAGCCCTTACATTTTTCTTTGCTTATGTCACATTGCCCTTATCAGTAGTTTCCTTTGGAAAGAAAGCTATTAAATCCTCGCTATCTCTTTTTAGAGAGATTAGGAATTCAAGCGCTCTGCTACCGTGTGGAAGGAACACCAAGCGTCGGCGGTTGCCAATAGGACGCTGCCTGGCACTGGGCTTCTGTCTGTCCTTCTCTGGACAGACAGCCGCTTTTTTGGGGACACGTGAGAAGGGCGAGGCCCATAGGAAGCCAGGTAAACATGCTGGCTTGCAAATTCTCATGGGGAGTGAAGAGTCCCTCCTTCATCCCAGGGGGCATGAAAGAACCCAGTTCTAGGCTAGGGAGCGCATGGAGAGTCCTGCCCGGGACCAGCCGAGGTTCCTTTCTGTGAGAACAATGGGGTTGCCAGGGGAAATGCTTGTCTAGCCTCCTGGGTAACACACAGTCAGAGTCCCTCGACTGTTGCTGGCCTAAGCCGGAAGTCCTTGGAGGAACTTTTTTTTTTCAAGCCTGGCTGCCAGGTGCCAGGCCCCAGTGGTGTGCAGTGACTTTCCAGTACTCTGAGAAGCGGCATAGGGCAGGGCAGCCATTGTCATGACATATTAGCCGGAGAGAGCCATGAGCACGGCACTGGGCTCAGCTCGCTGTCCCCGCACTGGGCTTCAAGCAGACTGTAGTAGCTTTTACTGTCAGCCAGTAGCGCGAACCCTGCTCTCTCTCTCTCTCTCTCTCTCTCTCTCTCTCTCTCTCTCTCTCTCTCTCTCTCTCTCTCTCTCTCTCTCGCCCCCTATGTCTACCACTTTTAATCTCCCTCCTCCCCTCCCTCCTTCTCCTCCTGGATCCGTGTAATTACCGCATTTCTTCCCAGCGGATGGTTGGGAGAGCAGAGCAGGCCTCACATCTGCCAACACTCCGTCTAACCTAGATGGCAGTTCAGCAAAGGGATTTCGCTTTTCTGCCAAGCTTGTCCCTCAAAGTCACCCTTCGGCCTCATAACACAGAATAAGGCCACTGTCTGGATGTCCCCCTGACGCCTTTCATTCAAGACCAAAATTTCTGATGCTCTACATCATACCTTCCCCAAAGAAGGTTTTCAGTTCTCCCTTCAAGCCTGGGGAGGATGGCGGGGCTTGCCAATCGGCGATTGTCCTGACCCAGCAGGACCAGCCAGTGCCAAGACAACTATTCTGTGGGCCTCTCATCAGGGACTTTTTCTTTTCCAGGCCGGAGGCTGACTCACGCTCAGTGAATACCCTGGTGGGGAAACACCAGAGTGCCGGGTGAAAAAAGAAATGTGTGCACCCTCTCCCCACCAACCATGCCAGCAGTGCAAGGACTCACTTGAATGCTGCTGTTTCCTGGCCGCTGGGAGTGACATTCACAGTCCCGTCATCTTGGCCATTTCTGGGGTCCCCGAGAAGGCAAAGGGGGACAGACAACTGGATGCGCCGAGCCAACGGGGCAACGCACCTGTAAAGCGCTTACAATCAAGTTACGGATCAAGGTGACTCTGTTTTTTTTTTTTTTTTACACATGGGAGAAGCATGGCTTCGGAACAGGAAATGAGGATGGCTTGACAGCCATGGACCTAAAGTGAGTCCTCACAGTTCAAAGAAACATGGATGTTGCCTGTAGGCTGCCCGACGCTCAAGGAAAAAAAAAAGTCACCTAAGAAATTAACCCAGGGCTGCAAACTAAGGGAAATACGGGAGGAAACGCCTCACTTGCTGCTTGTGCTAGTATGAAGGGACCCCTGGGTGTTATGGTGGAAGCTTCACCCAGCCCCCAGCGTCCATGTATCCAAAGAGTCTGGGATGTTCTGGTGGAGTTTCCACCCAAAGCCCCTCCACCCATCTTCCTTCAAACCCTGCTGCATCTCAGAAAGCCCGCCAAATGATGACCCCTGCCCCAGAGACCCTTCCCCCGGGGTATTTAAACTGCCCCTCCCCCAGAAAACAGATGAGTGATTCCCCAGTGTCTCTTTCCTGTCTCCTCTCTGGGGTGGGGTGGGGCTGGCTGGTAAGTCATCCGGGAGCATTGTATCTATTTAATGTGGGCTTTTCCTAACTCGGTTTGATTTGGTCTGATTTGGATTGCTGCTCCGACGGAGAGGCTTACCGGGGTAAAGAAACTTTTCACGGGGCTGTTATTGTTCTCTCCCCCTTCCCCACGCGTGACCACAAGCTTCCTTTATACCTGAGGTGGTTGGTATGGGTTGCCAGCTTGACAGGATTTAGTGTCACCTGGGAGCAAGCTTCCAGGCAGCTGTGAGGGAGTTTCTGGATTAGAGTAGTCGAGTTGGGGAGACTCAACCTTGGGCAACACCATCCCCTAGACTAGGGCCCTGAGCTAAGCACCAGCGTCCATCTCTCTGCTTCCCGATGGGGGACGAAATGCGACCAGCTGCCTCTGGTTCCTGCCAGCACGACTCCAGAGTGAGCCGAAACAAACCCTGCTTCCTTGGGTTGATTTTTGCCAGATATTGTGTCACAGCAACACAAAGAATTACTATTACAACTCCACAGTAATTTTAGTTCTTGCTAAGAAGTTCCTCCACTTAAAAAAAAGTATAACACACACACACAAAGACACATGCATGCACATACACCACACATACAGACACATGCACACGCAGACACCACACTCAGACACACACAGACACACACACACACACAGCTCAAAGTCCTGCTTTTGTGTTTACTGACTTCCATTAGGGTCCTTCATGCCGGGTTATTTCTCCCTCGCCGGCCGTCTGGGCACAGGTGAGTGGTGCCTAGGCTCCTCTCCCTGGCTGTTGAAGCCCCTCCCCTCCCCTCCCCAGCTTCCTTGTTCCCAGAATCACTTCATCCTCTCTCTGCAGCCAGAGCAAACTTTCTAAAATAGAAACCTGCTCATGCCACATTCCTGCTTAACCTCCTCAGCAGGTCTTTTGTAGGTTCCAGGAGACAATATAAATTCCTTTCCACATCACACAGGGTTCTTTAGAAGCCAACTTGCTCAGAGTCATTTCTCCCTCCCAGGCAGCTCTCCTAGTACTTACAACCCCACACACTTCCCAGGGGCTTCCTTCAGCCACAGCAATTCAGCCCTGCTACCCTGATTGCCTAAACACTTCCTCCAGGGTGCCCTTGGAAACCTGGCAGAGATAGAGGCTTAGAACTCACGATCTGCCTATCTCAGCCCTCTGAGCTTCGAGATTACAGGTGTGTGACACCATCTGGGACCTACACCCTAGCAATGGTTGGTGTGCCTGAGAGAAGGAGATCAAATCAAGGAATTCAAATGAGGCATTTCTAATGTCCTTTCAGTTCAACTTTAACCTGGGCTGGGGAGGCAGCTCTGTAAGTGAGGCCGTCGCTAAAGAGTGAAGACTGCCACATGCCCAGGACCCTTATAAAAGCACGTGGGTGTGACAGCCAGGCTGTATCCTTAGGGTGTGAGAGGATGTGGCAGGGGATCCCGGAACAAACTGGCTAGTGATGAGCCAAAACATGGAGCTCCAGGCCTCATGAGACGCCCTACCTTAGTATAGAAGTGGAGAGCCATTGAGGAAGCCTCCAAATTCACATGCACGCTTATGCAAACATGCATGCACAGCATGCAATACACATCATGCATGCACGTGTGGTGGTGCACGTGCACACACACACACACACACCCTAAAATGGTATTATCTAAATGCATAAGAGAAAACAAATGATTAGTGATTCCTGGACTCTACATTCTAAACATTTTTTTCCTGACAAATTTTAGACTTGATACTCTGTGCCCTTTGGCTCTCTGGTTGCTTACCGTCCTGCCCAAACTCCAAACAAGAACATAGCAAAGTTGTGTGGTGTTGGGAGCGATCATTGTTATTTAGAACCTTTTATAAATATTGCCAGCCCTTTTTAAGAGCCCTAATATAAGGGTGACATCGTAAAGAGCCATCTTAATACTCCCACTAAGATCCTAATAACTAACACCTACTGTCTATTCCTCTATCGACTCTCAGATCTACAGTCCAGACCCCTCTCCTTCATTAATAAAAAGTAAGGGAGGGGATGTTGAGGACCAGGTCACTGTAAATCTCTATTTCTCGCCCCAAGGGGCTTCCCAAAACTCAGGCGCCTTCCCACAGATGGCCCGGTGCCATAGAGATGACCCATGGCTAACAAGGCTTCCTTAACACCTGCACTCCCCGGTGAGATCTCCTGCCCATCGCATATCAAACACTCCCTGCTCCTAACAGCCCCTGCCTCTCTCTTCTCAGCGTCTCCCCAGTCTAACAGCCTCTGCCCCATGGCCAATGCCATATGCCCCTATATAAGCCTGGACAAGACCCTCAATAAACGCGGCTTGACCGGAGAGTCTGTCTTGCTGTCAGTCTTCTCTCGTGTCTCTCGTCTGGTTCATTCCAGGTTCCCGTGGGCTCGACCCCCGTTGCGCCCTGCTGGACAGGGCAGTGTGGCACCTGAGAGAAAAAAACGCACTTAGGTGACCAAATGGGTGTGGCCAACGTACTACAGTGCGAACGCACGAACGCCTTGCTGCTGCGAGAAGAGTCCCTTCTCACAAAATCATCTCTGGGGCCAGTGGGGTGGCTCCGTGGATAAGGAAGGGTTCTTGTAGCCAAACTTGGTAGCTTGAGTTCCAACCCTGGAATCCGTATGGCGGAAGCGGAAACCTGGCTTCTGAAAAATCAGTCTACAGCCTGTGACCTCCATATGCACACCGTGGTGGCAGAGACTATGCCTGCATGCACGCCCCCGCGCTACCGCGTCCTGCGTGCACGCACAAATGAAAAAGGTGTTTAGAAACAGGGTCCCCGCGGAGACCTCCATCGAAGTGGCTGGAGCCCCGACTTAGCCCCTCCCCTTGGCGCATTGCAGACTTAGCTAGCTAAGGTGGAGACCCGGTGGCGCAGAAGAGATGGCTGCTCAGGTCCCTGAAAACACGTGGAAGTCCGCAGGGACGAGAGTCTGCTAGTGCAGGGTAAGATCCTGTGGAGGCTGGCTTCCAGCCCAGCTGGCCGCTTTTTGGCCATGCGGGTGGTCACCTGCCATCCAGGAGTCTGCTTCCTCAGGGCGGGATGAGAAGCAGTGTCCTGTGAACCACTGAGTTCCTTCGGAACCTTAAAATTGGCCCCTGAGCATCACATGAGAACCATGGCCGTGGATGGGGGGTGGGGGGTAGTTGAGGGGGTCAGCTCCAGCATTGTTCTGTGTGGCTTGCGTGTCCTTGGCTTGATTTCTTAAGCTCTCCTGAGCTTCAGGTGTGTAATCTGAGTCATGGGGGTGTTAAGAGCCAAACTCCCTAAGCTGTCAAACGACCCAGTGCAGTGCGGTTCACATGTGTCGAGGGGTGGCTGGACCCACTGCTGGGTGTGAGAGCTGTGACACGGCCGTAGAGGGCGCAGACCCTCCCTCGTGTGCAGACCCTCCCTCATGTGATACTAGCGCCCCTACACAGGCCTCACCCCCACACAGGGCTCTCCTAGATCTGCTGGTGACCTGGGAGAAGCCATTCGCTTTTGGGCGGTGGTGGCGCACGCCTTTAATCCCAGCACTCGGGAGGCAGAGGCAGGCAGATCTCTGTGAGTTCCAGGCCAGCCTGGTCTACAGAGCAAGTTCTAGGACAGCCTCCAAAACAATACAGAGAAACCCAGTCTCGAAAAACCAAAAACCAAACAACAACAACAACAAAAAACAAGAAACAGAGACAGTGTCGGCGGGGGGCGGGGGCGTGGGTCCCCCTCAAAGGGCGGTGGAGAGGGTTACGTAAGACAAAGGTGGAAAGTCAATTTAGAGACGGTGGTGACCAGGTCCCAGCAGACGATTCTTTCCCCATTTTCCCCGTCTAAACCGAGTCCTCTCAATCACATGTTCCTCCTCCGGGCTGACTCACCATCCTGAGGGAAGAGGGAAGGACGGAAGGCAGGGGCTGAGAGGGCCCCAAGGTAACCTTGGGGCCTCCCTGAGAGTTGTCAGGAACTCATCTGCCCCAGGAGCCCACTGGTTCACCCTACTTCACCCCCCTTGGTTTCCGAAGCTTAAACTAAGATGGGACCAGCGTGGCCACAGCCGTTCAGAGAGAGCGGCCCCTAGGGTGTCTTCTTAGAAGCCAGCTCTGAGATTCCCCCACACCAGCCAGGCTCTCTGAACCTGAGTTATTCATCGCATCCGGGCTCCACCAGGTCTGCCAGAGGAAATGAGTTCTGAGAGGGCCGATTTGCAGGCGCCTGGGTGGGCTCAGATCAGTGGCCCCTTTAGAGAACCCCCCTCCTGGTGGCAGGTGTGAGCGCTACTGGACAGAGAAAAGAGACCACTCGTGAGGATAAATAAAGGATGAGACGGGTGGGCGGGGTTCCAGGCTCACCCGCACGCCCCCCATTGTCATGTGACCTGGAATAGGTCACCTCCCCTCTCCGAGCTTTTTAAGAGTCATTAAGGTTCTGTGCTCTGCAGACTGGCTTCTCTTGTCCATTACCCACTGTGGTCTCTGGGAAGTCAAGATGGCTTCCCTGCAGTGTCAACAGCACTTACTCAAGGTGGTAACCAGCAGGGGACGGGAGTGGCTCTCTCTCTCTTCCGTGTCAAAGGCCTGCTGTGGCCGTCACGCTCCAACCAAGCTATGTGCTTACCTAGCCCATGGGGCACGGTGAACTGGCACCCGGAGTCCATTTTGACCCTTGCAGTGCGAGGGGACCATCTTCTTACCACCAAGCTTGTGGCTCCTGGCAGGAGCGGCCATTTCAGTGTTTCCCGTGGTTTTGCCTGTGTTGAGACACTTGAGAACCCTGGACCCATCGAGTGGGTGTGTTCCTGCACATGGGGGTGGGGTGGGTGTTCATGGTACTCCCTGGAGGTTGGAGGACAACCTCAGGTGTTGGCCTCGGGCTCTTCCCGTGTTTGGCTTGGGATGAAGTTTCTCCTTTGTTCTGGAACTTTACCACATAGGCCAAGCCAGCTGACCTGCAAGCACCCTCACAATCCCAACATCTAGGAGGTTGCAGGCACAAATCGCTGTGCCCAGGTTTTTGTGTGCTTTCCGAGGATTTGAACCTAGCTCGTTGTGCCTGAGAAGGAAGCACTTAATGCCTGAGGCCTCTCTCCAGTCCAAGAATGTTCCTGAGAGCAGTGGTCCCCGTGAGGCCTTACTCCTTCCTTTCTTGCTCCATCCCTGCAGGGCAGTGGACAGTTCTTTTCCTCCGAAACTGATTGAGAATTTGCCCTGTGAGTCCTGCTGGGACTTCTCGAACAGCCATTACCCTGTGTGGGAAACCTTCCCACTGAGAAACTGCCATAGCAGCCCCTTCCTTCCACTGTCTCTGTCCCTGTGATGGGACGATAGAGACTCCACAATCTGACACACCAAGTGTCCACCGATTCCAACCGGGACTTCAGGACGAGGAGCCCTGGAAGATGGACAAAACAACAGAAGATGTCAGCCTTCAGCTCAGAGCGGAAATACGAGGTACTGGGCACCGATGATGCCACATCCAGTCCCCAAAACTTTTCTCTTATGTGCCTGTCGTTCCCTGACTCTGAGGCTGATAGAGCTCACCTTGCCCAGATGCAAATCATGATAGTGATAAGAAGACAGAGCCTGCCTGAAGCATGGAGTGCTTCTGAGGTGAGAGATCCCCCAAGGGGGCTGTGAGATGGGGTCCAGTCCAGTCCACACTAGGCTTCCCTCCTTCCGGTCTTGGCCTCCGAGTCCTCGAGGGTTTTCTGTACCAGTCCCTTGCATGCAAACCCTC